CGCTCTGGCTGGCACGGGCCGAGTGTCAGGTGCCCCGGAGGCGGCTAGGGAGGCCGTCCTGGGGGCCGACAGCACGAGCTTCGTCCAGGTCCCGCTCGATGTCCTCTTGGCCTACTACTACCGGGCCAGACGGGTGCTCCAGTCGCTCCCGCACCACAAGCGGCTGGGATGGCTGCAGGCTCAGGATCTGGCCGAACGGACTGAGTGGGTGACCAAGTTCCGCGAGAGCACCAAGACGCTGGGCAAGGTGGTCATGGAGGTGTTTTGAGGCCCGGGACCCGCACTGAATGGTGCGTGCCGGCGAGGGGAGCGCCGCGCCGGCCACTCCGGCTGTGGGCAAAGTGGCTACCAGCACCCCGAGTACGTCCCTCTTCCAGCTGGGTAAGCCGATTGGCGGTCGGGCGGTGGCTAAAGTGCTGAAGGATGGAGTCACCCTGTGCCAGGCATTCCAGCATGGCAATTGCAAGGCGACCAAGTGTCAGCAGGGGGCTCACCGCTGCGGCCTTGTGACCAGGGGGGAGCGCGTCTGCGGGGGCAGCAACCACGGAGCGTCCACCTGTCGCGCTGGGAAGAAGGGGAAAGGCTCCTGATGGGGCCCGGAGGATGATGTGGCGGCTGCATCCTCTGGGTCCGCTGCGGTAGCGCTGCCTGGTGGCGAGCCACCTTTGATGGCTGACCTCATGTGTGGTCCGAACCTCCCGTTGACTAAAGCCTTCCTGTGGTGTGGATGGCGCACCGTTTCCGTGGACTGGCTCCTTGACCCCGCCCATGACCTGTCTAACCCCCTGAGGCAAAAGTCATTGGCAGGCCAGCTCGAGGAGACCGACTTCATTGCGGCCGCGATGGACTGCTCCACCAAGCCGCGGGCGAGGGAGATTCCGCGGAAGTTCAACGACGGACGCCCAGCACCCCAGCCTCTCCGGTCAGCAGACCAGCCCCTGGGGTTACCAGGGCTGTCAGTCAAGGACCAGGCTCGGGTGGACACAGACAACGCGGCATGCGGCTGGATGCTCACACAGCTCCAGAAGCACGCCGAAGGAGGGGGGGCCTCCGTGCGGGAGAACCCATGAAGGAGCTTGCACTGGTACCTCCCCCAGGAGCAGGCGATGATGGAGTCCGGACTGTGGAAGGACACGCAATATTCCGCATGCGTGTTTGCGGGGGCCCGGAGCCCGGAGCAAACTCTAGTGCCTCAGACACAACGTCCAGGAGATCGAGGAGTGGCCGCCTTTGATGTGCCACCATACCCACCACCCCCGAGAGTGGGAACCACAGGAGAGTTCCGATGGCAGGTGGTACCCGTCTAAGGCCGAGGCGGAGTACACGGCAGCGCTGGCATTCAGCATCGCGGTGGCGGCTTCGTGGTGGGCGGCCCGAGTCGGCAAGGCACGCCTGACGGTCCCGCGGATGCCAGCGATCGAGACGGTAGGTCGCCGGGAGCACTGGTTGGAATTCGATGGACGGGCTCTACGCGAATGGGCCATGGCACCGATGGCGGTGAGCCCGGGCTCAAGCCACCCCCGCTGGCATCGGGTGCCACGGTGCCTCGGCGAGTGGCGATCCTCGAGGTGCTGTACGAAGATGGTACCCTACCCGAGGACGTGGTCTACGTTGGACGAGGGCATCACAGCCATCGAGTCCCTACGTCCGACTGGAGATGCCCGTGGGTGCCGGGACACGATTGCTCGTGGGACGAGTGGATCCCACGCTTCGTGCAGTATGTCTACCAGTGAGGCCTGAATGGCTAGCGATTGCCAGAGCTGATGGGCAAGAGGCTGGCCTGCGATTGCAGCTTTGAGGAGGTGTGCGAGGCTGACATTTTGGCCGGCTTGGTTTTTGAGGAGTGTGTCCAGCAGTCGGCCGCACAGCCAGCACGACGGAAGAACCGACGAGTGCCGAGACGAGGAGTTCTGCTGGCATGGGGCGAGTGGATGCCAGGGCGGTGCCGTGGAGGCGTTGGACGCAAGAGGCAGTGGTGAACTGCTTCTTGTGCCTCTTTCCTGAGCCCTGGTTCAAGGGCTTCCGCTTCCCCATGATTGAGGACCTCATCAACCAGTCTCCATTCATCGACTATGCGGAGTGGCGGCATGGGCAGCATCTGGATTGGGATGGTCCCCTGGGCCTTGCCACGGCCCCGGCGGGGGTCCGCATCCGGTCGCGCACAGCGGAGGGGCAGCAAGCGGGTGCGTTGAGCCACAAGGCAGCCTTGCCCCCGCTGATCTCCGGTGTACCCAATCCGGACGACCACTTCGCTGCGGCCTTGGCTATGAAGATGACGCCAACCCCACTGGAACAAGAAGCAGTGATGGATGAGGATTTGCAGTTTGTGGCTTCAGTCATGGCGGCACGCAGGGGGGACCTGCGCCAGATGCGACGTGGCGCCATCGGGGCCGTCAAGGAGCTGAAGCAGAGATGGAAGCGAGTGGATGATCAGTTGAGGCAATTCCAGGCACCAGCCCTCCAAGCCGTGACAGCACAAAGGGACATTGGGTTGCTGGGTCATACCCCCATGGCCTGGTGGTGGGCCTGCCAGCAGTCGGCTTTGCCCCCCACTACGGCGTGTTCCCCCCGCAGGACGCGCGGAGGATCACCTTTGAGGAGGTCCTGGATGGGGCAGGCAAGAACAATCGGCTCGTGCTAGCTAGTTTGCGCCCGGGCAAGGATGATGCCTTCTTGCTGGAGCAGTCGCAGAAGGACGCTGATCGTGGGTTCTGCACAGCCCCGATGTCCCTGTCCGAGCTGCAGCGGGAGCTCAGAGGGCAGGAGTTCCGACTCATACCTAGGTGTGTCATCACACAGTCCTCAGGCAAGCAGCGAGTGATCGACAACGCAGATACAGGGGGTCAATCCCTCCGTTCATCGGACGCCAATAAATTAGTCCTCTGTTCACCATTGCGACCAGCCCAGCACATTGCAGCGGTGATGCAACGCATGGATGAGAGCCAACTTCGCTCGGCCCGCGAGGGTGACTCGTGGGAATCCGGAGGGGAGGATTGGCCAGATGCCTATCGCCACTCTCCTATGAGCAGTGAGGAGGCCAGGGGCTGTATCGTTTGTTTTTGGCATCAGGGCTGGGGGGCGCCTGCATTTCAGCGGTACGCAGGGCTGCTCTTTGGCCTGCCGTTGGCCGTGACCAGTTTCAACCGGTACTCTAGGCTGGCGGAAGCGCTGGCCAGACGACTGTTGGTCCTTCTGGTTTCGTTCTACTTCGATGACGCCCACATCACGGATTGGCGATCGGCCGGTGGCTCCGGCCAGTGGGCACTGGAAGAGCTGAACCGGTTGCTGGGCACGCCATTCTCCGAGGACAAGAAGCAGCCTATGGCAGCCCAAGGACTCTTTCTGGGGCTTGACCATGACCTATCTCAGGCACTGCACGACGGCGTGGTGTCGTTCTGGGCTCGGGAGCGGTTGCACGAGAAGATGTCCGGGATGATCCAGAAGGTCAGGAACGAGGGGAGACTCGCACCTGGCCTCGCGGCCAAGATCTACGGCCTGGCTAACTTCTTGGAGATGGGAGTCTATGGCCGCGTGGGATGCGGAGGATTGGGCTCCATCAAGACGCGGCAGGCTGAGAGATCATCTGAGCTGACTGAGCCTATCAAGGCGAGCCTTGAGTTGCTAGAAGCAGTTTTTGCTACCCAACCACGCCGAGTGCTTCAGGTTTTACCAGTGCCGTGTGAGAGATTTGTGATAGCTTCGGATGCGGCTCTTGAGAGCCCACGTCAGGGGACGGGAGGTTTCCTGATGGTGTGGGCCGACGGCTTCGCCGAGCGACGGGAAGCTTTTGTAGCCGACATCCCACTTGAGCTTTACCAGGTGTGGACTCCGGGGGACCGGAAGATTGCTCAATTGGAGCTGTCCATGGTGTTGTACGCCCTCCTCTGCCGACCGGATACATTCCGTAATCGGCGGGGAGTGTGGTACATCGATAACACCGCAGCCCTGATGTGTTTAATCCGTGGTAGATCCAGGGAGCCCGATCTGGAACGAATGTCCCACGTGATACACACAGTTTTGTTTGGGCTGAAAGTTTGGATGTGTTGGGAGTGGATCCCTTCCAAATCCAACTGTCGGATGCGATTTCTCGGTTAGGATGGCAGGACCCATGGGCCCGCCAGAATGATTTTTCAATGTCTACTGCTTTCTGTTTCCCCATCATGTGGAAGCTGCCATTTCGTGCCGTGCTCGCGGTGACGAGCTTTCTGTAGTGCTTTGGGAGTTGATGAAGTGCATTGGGGAACTTTTAAGGATGTTAGAGGCATCCCAACCGGAGTTGACCGGTGGCCCCCTCTAAGCACAGTCCATGCAGGAGATGCATGGAAATCCAAAGCATTATCCCTCAGGCGATGAGGGTTGTTACAGGCACGGGCAGTGCAGACTATGAATGATGAGAAGGGAAAAAGAATTGGGGTGCGTCGCAGCCTAGCAGTAGGAACGATACGTGACACATTGATGTATGCCATGTTTAGAGCTTGGCAGGCATTGGGTGAACATGTATCATCAATTGTTATGGGTCTGCCATTTTGGATCAAGACTGAGCCAAATTGGCAGATACCTTTTTGGTTTTCCCCACCCAACCCACCCTTTGTCTGGCCTGGCGTCCAGTAGCCGACAACTTTGAAGGTCCCGATGGGACTGGGGTTTGCGCAAAGGCGCACTGTGCTGTTTCGAGGGGAGGGGAACTTTTAAGGATGTTAGAGGCATCCCAACCGGAGTTGACCGGTGGCCCCCTCTAAGCACAGTCCATGCAGGAGATGCATGGAAATCCAAAGCATTATCCCTCAGGCGATGAGGGTTGTTACAGGCACGGGCAGTGCAGACTATGAATGATGAGAAGGGAAAAAGAATTGGGGTGCGTCGCAGCCTAGCAGTAGGAACGATACGTGACACATTGATGAAACCATGTTTTGCCCCACCCAGCTGGAGTGGCAGTTCCGCATAAACCTCAACGAAACTGCAATCCATCAGCTGATGACTTGAAAAGGGGCTGCCGCCAGGCCATTGAACTAGGAGCCTGGCACGTGCCTTGGCGAGGTGGGGTGACCATGCGGTCAGGAATCGAATTTCAAATCCAGCCAGCAAGCTTCAACCGTTTGGGGCCAAGGGTTGTGTCGCATGGTGGACAGGAAGCCCGGAAGGGCAAATTTCCCCATGGCCCTAGATCAGTGCCCCAATTTGTTGGACAGGGTTGACAGAGGTTAAGTTCGGATGCGCGTGTTGATGGCAACTGTTGTGTTGCGTGGGGAGCATACGATCCTGGAAGGAGTCACTGAGTCACCCATAGCAGTTTTGGTTGGCTTGCAATATTTGGGATGCCATCCGTGAATTGCCCATGTACAATGTGGCATTTCCATTCCTCACAGCATGCATTTGAACAAAGTTCCTAGTAAGCTGCCACCTTATTGACGTGCCTGCCGACATTCCAAACGAAAGAAAGCACCGGGACGTAGGTTCTTGGAAAGCATTGGAAGCCATAAGCCAGGCCAAAATTTAATCTCCTTCTGAGTAGTTATTGTCGATGGCTGGCGCTTGTCAGGGTGTCACATGACAGGGTCACTGCCAAAAGCTAGCAGATAGACTTCGGACGGAGCAGCAGTTTTGTAAGAGCATGGCTTCTGCATTCCGATCTGAGGCATTCAACGCCACCGAAGGTACAAAGCTCAGTCGACCTGGACAGTTTGGAGCGCTGGCAAAGGCACTCGATGATAATGTCTTTCTGGCTTTTGAAACCATATTGAATTTCCTGATGCGCTTTCTCCAAGCTGTTGGCTTGCCGAGGTGACGCGCACGTGAGAGCCAAGGTGGCAGAGGCGCAGCGGAACGGTGCTGAAGCGCGAAGGTCACCAGGGGGCTTTTGGGGGGCTTTAATTAGTTAGGGCTCATTGAAAACGAAAACGAAGCCGTTGGACTATCGGGGGCCAACCGCGTGTGAATTGCGCAGAGGTTCGCAGCGCAGGTCACGGGGGGCATGGGCTGCGACCTCACCTTGGACGCCGCCGGCTTCGCGGCCACCTGCGAGAACGCGGCACACTGCGTGCGCCGTGGGGGGCGCCACTCGGCGAGTCGCGCGGGGTCGGCGAGTCGGCGAGTCGGCTGGTGGCTTGGAAGCGGCCGGGGTTTGTGGGGGAGATTGGCTGAGGTGATGGGTGCTGATTCGCCCTAAGAGGGCGGTTTGAAAGCTGTGCTCTTGGCATTCCGTGCTCTGGCCAAGGAATGGTGCAGGTTGGCCTACCCTTACATGGCAGGGAGCCTTGCATGCCCATGGCGAGGCAGGGGTCAGTCGATCAGACGGGTGGATCGCTAAACGTCTCGCGATTTTGAAAGTAGGCTTTGCAGATTCCCAGAAACATTGCAAGTGAACCAACCACTGGCTGGCTATCGCAAATTATTGTTACGTATATGGATATATATCTATGAATAAATGCGTCCAGAAACAGTGTTTCTTCTAGACACATTAGGTATAAATGTTCAGGGAATGTGCAGAGACAATTGTTTGTTGTTGTAGAAAATTCCGTCTTTGCTTTTGGACCAACTGTGCGTGAGGATGGCTGGAAACACCAGGGGAAACTTGACGCTGATTCTCAAGCGCGTGTGGTCATGCTCATGTCGACGTCGGTGGCAGCCAGGGTGGCCAACCAGGAGATCGAAATCATCGGCCTGGATTCCCAGCTGGGGGCAGCTAGCGACAGCAATTTGCTTGCTTTGACCAGTCGTTGTGTTTTCGACTGGGCAGTTTGTGCCTTGTTGGGCAAGAGCGGCTTGACTGTGATAAGAGCCGCCGACGATGTGAGCGATGAGCATGCACTTGTGTGTTTGCTTCGTCACATGCACTTGCGCTTTTTAGACTCGTGATGTGTGTTATTTAAGCAAACTCGATGTGCTGGCTGCGCTAAGCTTCAGGTTTCCTTCTTGCTTGCCGCATGTGTTGATCGAGACGTTTTGCCCAGCTATGCTGGCAGGCTGACTTTGGTATTGGTATGTGGTAAGGAAGTGGGTCATTTCAAAAGACAAACACCGTTAATTGAAAAACTGTTGAGTTAAGATGATTCACATGTTTTTCTTGTTCTATCCCTGTTTCACTAGCATCCATTAGTTTATTTAGTTGATGTTCTTCTTTGCGATGCTGATTTCAAAATGTTTAGTGTCCTGCACGTTCTCTTTGTTTCCCCACCTCCGGTCCCATTTGATAGAACTAATAAGTGAAACTATTGAACCCCGGGTCTTGGCAGGTAATCACCATACAATACAGACTGCTGCACATGGAGAGACATATCACACGAATTCTTGGCCTACCTTCTTCCTGCATCGGGTTCCTAGTTGAAACGGAAGCAAACATTACATTTCAATAAGGACAGGAACCTGATGTCACTCCTTTCCCTCGCTCGCATATCTCTTAGGCTTCGGGCTTGGGGTGTAAGGAGCGTGACCCATGAAATCGAGTCCAAGTGTCAGGCGCCTTAGTCCAGGCTGAAAAAGAGCGCAGAACAAGCGCAGAAGAGGTCGCCAGCCCAAGCCGCTCACGCACAAATCCCATGCGGCTGCCTACCCAACCTCCAGTCCTAGGCCAGGCATGCGCCCATTTCCGAGGCTCCCACGGCCTGGCGGCCCGTGACATGCCGCAGCTGCTGTCCATGGTGGCCGCAGGTAAGCTGCTCCCGGAGAAGCTGGTGCTTCGCATCTCTTCGGCATTGCTTGGCATTTCAAGAGCCACAAGCATGGCGTTAAAGATGGGAAAATTGAAAACGGCCAAGTTGAAGCGAGCTTCCCTAAGACTTGTCTTGAGCCTTTAAAAGGCCCAAGATCCTCCTGATTCGGTGCACCCCCTTCCCCAGATCGCCAGATTCAGCGCGCGTTACCCTGCAGGAAGCCTTGACCTCAGCCAACACTCGTGAAAGTGGATGAAGTAATCGTCCAGACGGTCAAGGCTTGTTACTTTTTCCAACCGCCATCAGCTTCCGTGATTGATTGGGGGGGAGGGGGGGGGGCGGGCGTGAAGTTCAGAAACCTTGACTTGTGTGCTGTCATGTGTTTGACTGTCCCCAAACTTCTGAAGCGACCTAAGTTCCTCAAAAAGCTTTAGGCATTCACCAGCTAGATTACTGAACTACAAGTACGTGCTGGAGGGCCGCCCCTACTGCATGACGTGAACAGGTCATTCGACTTATTTGCTTTCCACTGTGGACGACTGGCCAAGTGCAGTGCAGAGCCAAACAACAGGCTCCTTACTGCTTCTTACTGGTTGCTTGGTTGCTTGGGTTGGCTGATTGGTTGGTTTGGTTGATTTGGGTGGTTTGGGTGGTTTTGTTTCTTGATTCAGACTTCTTGGTGCAAGTGCCGGCTGAAACATTTGTCTCAAGGTATGTCATCGAGCCATATCGAGCCGAATCTGGACCAAGGGCCTCTTCGCAGGTCTCAACGCCCTGATTGTTTCGTCCCTTTGAGCTGGCCCTTTTGATCTTTTTGTTTGCTTCCGCAATGTCCAGCAGGCTCTTACCTTTTGGAGCGCCGAAAGTGGCTCTCCTTTGCTGAGTACATTCCACCGGATCACAAAGGTCCCAAGCCATGCCCCGGGACCACCAGCTGGTTCCTTTGCTTTGCCATGATACTGCTGTCTATGCTTGCGCATCATTCTCGGTCTACCTTGCAATCTTCCAGGCCGCTACAAAGTTCCTGCCAGATGGTAAGAGCAACGAATCCCGTCACGGCGGTACCTGAGTCTGCCAAGGTGAGGTGAGCTTAGAAGAAGGCGCCCAGGCTGGAGTGCCTTTCAGTGGTGGCCGCAGTGCCACGATCACGAACCTTTGGAGCTTCTGACCCCGGAAGCCCCTTTCTTGAGGTGCTTGTGCCACGCCCTTGTCATCGGCATGCCCCATCAATGGCACACATCGCATTTGGAGGAGGGCCCTTTTGAAGTGCCGAGCCGCCAATCAGGGTCATGGTAGCTTTGTCCATAAGACAACTGCAGCCCCTTGCTTGGAGCTATTTGGAAGACAGGCTGCTCCACGTTGGTGCAGCAAGGCAAGTGGCCGGCTAATTGTGTGATCCGAAAGTCCGCGATTTCTGCGGCCATCGTGCCACTTTCCTTTGAAAGTGCTCTCCCAGCGGGCCTATGCAAACCTGCGCGTTTCGCAGGCCATCGAGGCTATGGAGAAGGGCTCGCCCCTAGGCATCACCATGATTACGCGCTTCAAGGAGAGCCGTGGCTAAAAGTGGGAGCCCTTCAGATAGGTGGCTGCCGCCTCGTTTGCTGTCATGGTGGTTGCAATCGTCACCACCGGTCGTTTTTTTGTTGGCCTTTTTGTTGATTGCTACAGTTTCTGTATCGAACGCAATCAGCTGACATGTGATGACATGTGTCTCAGAACCAGATTGCTGTTGGAAGGCTGAAGATGATGCAAGGCATGTTTAAGCTTTTGATGGTCAGGAGGGCAGCGAGCCGCCCGAGAAGCGTGCCAAGACGGCTTGAGACAAAAAGTGTGCCTGCTTGCTGGCCAGTGTTCATGGACAAGAGAACTGACGGGAGAAGGGATCTGATGCCCCCAGACAGGAATGGCAGGAAGAATGGCAATGGACAAGTGGCAGAGCATGAAGGATGCACCTTCGCGTGTTCTAAGGCTGGATGCATTGTTCGTGAGAGAGCAAAGAAGAAGCTGGACAACGCCCGAGATGGAATAGAAGCAACGCGAAAACAGTAGCCTTGTGTGTGTGAATTTGACCCTTCCGCATGTGCGCAAAACCACCTCGGTCGCGATGCCGCACGGAGGGGTGTAGCGACTGCTTCGCAGCCTTGTGAACCCTTTGCGCACTGTGGGCGGGTCAATCCTCAAAAACTTGTTTTTTGGTTTTCCGATATTCACCTCCCTCGCGCAACCCTTTGCGGTCGACCTTCCACTCCTCGCATGTCTTTTATATGTTCACTTCGCTCGCACGGCCCTTTGTGCGCTTTCGGGGATTATGTGGGTCGACCCTAAGGAGACTCGTGGTACTTGACGTCGTGGGACAGAGGGTGGGGAGAAGCAAATGAGCGAGAGAGAAAGAAAGAACGAAAGCGTAAGAGAAAGAGTAAGAGAAAGCGAAGGAGCAAGAGAAAGAGCAAGAGCAAGAGAAAAAGGGAGAGGAAGAAGAAGACAAAGAGAACGAGAAAAAGAGAGAGAGAGAGAGAGCGGGTGACGAAAATGAGCATAAGAGAAAGATGATGACGCAACTAAGGAGGACGAAGAAAAACAACAAGCAAAAGAGAAAGAAAAATAACAGAGAAAGATAAGTGGAAAACAAATACAGAGAGGGAGACGAGGGAGAGGGAGACGAGGGAACAAGAAACGTGTTGCAAGCTATAGTTCTTCTATTTTCAAACTTCAGCACCCCGGTTTTCTGACTTTGCTGGTATGTAGAAAGTAGTCAGCGAAAGGGCCCGTGAACAGCTGCTTGTGTTCGACTGGGCATTCTTCTGAACAATGTTTGACTCCTGCCCATGCTCGGTGTGGTTGTCACTGGCCCAGGCCACCCTCCGGTTGGGTCAAGGCCCATTCTTAGACATCCTGAAAATACGGGGGGCCCCCGCCCTGTGGGACCAGATCACGCACATGTGTCATTTGACCATGGCGACGGTTTCCTGCACGGGGGGTTTCATCCCAACCTTTGGCGCGCTCCCTGGGTTTGAGGCGTGCACCTGGCGAGGGCCAACTTCGCCCAGCTGCCAGAGGCGCTGCAAGCCAGCGGCTTCGACCTGCCCGGCGCCCAGGGGTTGGGCCAGGTTTCAGCTTGCAGTTGCCCGTGTGTCGCCGAAGTGGGTTCGGAGGGATGGCTGGGATCGTGGATTGGCTTCCCCACTCACCTGGACTTGGGTTGCATGTCGTGAAACACCGATCCAGGCCTTGAGGCCTGTGGGACCCATCATCCAGGTCACCTGTTTGGCACACTCGGCCAGCAACAGGGCGCCTAAGTGGCGCCATAGCCGAGGCCGTGCGAAGGGCTGCTGGCGGACTTGGGTGCGCACACCCAGTGGGTGGGGTCGGGGGGGGGGGGTTGGGAAGCCTCGCTTCTATTCTGAGGTTTGCCAATTTGTCATGAAGCCATCTAGCACAGAGCCCGCGGCGGCATTTTCATGGTAAGTTTCAGCCAGACTTCATTTGACCCCATTGGGTTGCAATAGCCTCGGCTTGACTTCTTACGTGCAGGTGCACGTCATGGCCGATGCTCTAGGGGGAATGCAACAACACATTGAATGCCACACTTCCCACTCAACAGGGAAGCTAATAGTTCTGTTGCAGCACTCCAACCCAACTGCAGTTGGCTAGATGGGCAGAGGCGCAAGTGGCACGTGTGCAACAAAGGGGCAATTCCACAAGTCGCCGCAGTGCGTCTGCCTGGATTTGACGATTCGTTTTGGAGCTGAGGCGTTTCTTCACCTCAGCTCGACCGTGGCGAGCGCGGCTTCAGCTTTCGTTTGGATGGACCACTGGACATGCGCATGGAGCGGGTGGGCTGGGGAATCGGACATGCTGAGAGTTGTAGGCCAGCCCAGCTGCGCCCCTTTTGGAACGTTGTGTTTGCGGTGTTTGAGGCCATGGCAGCTAATTATGAGGCGTTGGTTTCTAGAGAAGCCGGCTTGAGTGCAAAATGGCGAATGGGCACTGGATTGTAACACCGGGCAAGCTTTGAATTGAGTTGTGTTGTCGCCCTCGGCCTTGTGATTTCGCCACTCTTCTTTGCAACAGCGATGTGGACTCCGTTGGAGTTGGGGTGCGTGCCCAATTGTCATGTCGAGCGGGTGAAATTAAATGTGCATCGAGGTCGCAGCAAACAAGCGAGTAGTCAAGTAGTATCAGGGTTTGCGAGCTCACATTGCTATTGGACGACACCACCCCGGACCATGTGGCACGGACGCCAGGGGGAATGCTTTGGTGTCTGCAGCATTGAGAAAAGGCCACGTTTCAGCCATCTCTCTATGGCCCTGACCAAGCAAAGCAACTGACAGGTTGTAGGATGGCCCCTGGCAGATTCGAACTACAAGTTGTCTTAACGATAGTGGCGCGCAGCCTTGCCCCACCGCGAGCTGCAGGATGCTTCAGACGGCATCCGGCCAGCCTCATGGTACATTGCCAACCTGCCACCGCAGCAGCTGGCTGCGCATCTTTGCGAGTTTCTGGGCTGCATGTGCAATCCCACGGAATGAGCTTTGGCCTGGGTTTTGGCGACGTTTCCTGCGCGGTTCGGGGAGCAGATGGCCCAAAAGTGTTCAAAGGCGCTCTATGTCAAGGATAGGTCGTGACGACCATCGGTTTTGGTTTGGTTTTGAAGATTTTGAGCCGGTTGATGGTATCATTTAGTATTATTCCATGTTATGTACTATCCATGAATCTGCTTTAGGCTAATAGACTTGATTTTGGGAACCCCACAAGTGCATGCCTGTTTGTCGGATTACTCTCCCACCCTGAGGTTCCTTTTTTAGGGATACTTTCTGACACGTCCCATGGAACCCATGTTGGTCAGTGCAAGGTGAGGCATACAGGGTACAATATGGTACAACTCAGCAGGCACGACCACGCTGTCAATCGTCATTCTCAGGGTGTCAAGGGCTTCAGGCATAAGTCGCCCTCATCCCGCAGCAGCATTGCCTCATCGTGGCTGACAATGGTTCATGTTCCGCCCGCCTTGCGATCGAATCTAAGCATCGGACCTAGTGGCCCGCATGGTGCTTGCCAAGGTTGGGTGAGGAGGACTGACTGCTGCTTGACTGCCACCGCTGCACAGGGAAAGCATTGAAGGGTAAGCATTGCCGTGTCCCAATACTGCAACACGGGTTGGTCGTGGAACCTGGATCGAGTCCAGCATGGCGCAGTTGAGTTCTCGGGACGACTTTGGGGATGCCTTGCCAACAGGGTGCAGCTTTGAGCCAAGGTAGCACCATGCAGTACCTGCCAAGCAATCACCTGCACATCCAAGCAGCTTGTGTTTAAAATTATTTGGTGCGATGCAATCTTGATGCTTTTGTGCTCCGAATCCCTTGCACGAGAAGCCGGCATCGGCAACCGAAGCCAATGGCTCAAAGTTGAGGATCTCCATTTCCATTTGTCACGTTTGTGCCCTTGGCATCATGCTGCTGTCCCGGGTGATGCGAGCCACACACCTCTCCGCCTACTCGGCGCCGGGGAAGTACTCTGTGTTCACCATGCGCCAGCGGTACACGCAGATGCTGAAGAACATGACGGAGCCGTGGGCATGCCTTGTGCTTCCTTCAAAAGCGTGCGTATTCCAAAAGGCAGCTCACTAGAACTAGAATTCGGCGGTTCAGACCCCCACCATGAAGATTTCCCCCGCCCTTAAGCAGGCCTCCCACCAAGCCAGTCCTTTCGGCCAGGACCCCACCATTGCGGACTACTTCTACGAGCACTTCCTGCGCGCTTGGTTCCTCGGGTTCTGAATTTTGGTCTTTGACTTTGACTTTGACTTCGGGAAACTGAACCGCCAAGCCACACGACCCACTGACCAAGCTGACCGCCACCAAACTAATCCACTGACCCACCATGACCCACTACAACCCCCAACCCGCACAGCCACTGACCCGCAACCCCCACCAACCCTCACTGACCACACGCTTTCTGGCAGCACACTGAGGTTCGGGGATGCCCCCAGCTACAACTATGCCTTTGTGTCCATCGCCGCCTTCGGGGCCTGCATCGGCATTTTGACCCGGGGGGTCTTCTTCAACCCGGACATCATGTTCCGAAGCCGGGACGAAGGCTACGTCTTACCTTTGGCTTGGCTCAAAGAAAATACGGCTTGGTACAACCGCACTTGAGTTTGGTAGCATCTTTGGTGTTGGCCTCTGCTTCCATCCGTTTATGAGGATCTCTTTCTCTCTCTCTCTCTCTCTCGAAATATGTACATGTACATATTATTAACAGGCGTTCGGGTCAGTTTCAAGTTTCAGAGCAGACACCTCAGACCACTACAATCTATTTAAGCTCAATTTCCGAGAAATATATTTAAACAGCTCATGAAACATAAAACCAAGTGAATGCTAAGATAATGTACTTTCTTGTTTAACTCCGTGTATATCATATTCAAGTTCGACAATGACATTGAAATCCAAGTGATGTTTAACGGGATTCCATGTCCAGATGATGGGAATTGTACTGGAATCTTAATTAGCGTTTACAACGGAACAACACAATATAGTTCTAACTTGACATCCAATTCAACCCTTAAATTCGTTCATGTCCTTTTTGATTGCACGTAATGTGCAGTCAAATTGTGTGTAATATTGAACTTGGGAAGGAGTTGCAAAGTGTTCCATGTCCTTGTGCAATTCCGTTCGCACTCTAATTCAATTCTGTGTGTGTAATATGGATACACATTCAATTGGGAAAGGACACTATGTGGGATGTATTTGTTGCTTATCTATGTTTGATTTATGTCCTCTCGATTTTCTATCCAACATCTTAGCGTGGAAAGACAGTTGGATATCACAGCAGCCAAAATCATTTTGCTCCTTTTGAACGTCGCATGCGGGGAAACCGTCCTAATTTCAACATATGTTTCAATTTCAAGCCCAGTTCATGTTTAACTGACAGAATATCACACACAATTGTGGAAGACAAGCTATTGGCATTTCCAGTTGAAATTGGAATCGTATTCACATTCTAAAAGTACTTGCTTGTCGTGTCCATTTTGAGTTGCAATGAAGCGGGGATTTGCTCCTTGCAAAACGACATGTAGTAGAATTAGCATTTGTCCTGCCATGGCTCCCGTCTAAAAAAGGATCAAGAACTGGGGGCAGTGTGTGTGTGTGTGTGCAGTTGCGTCATTCTTCCCCTTCATTGAAAGCGTCCATGTGCAGATAACAAACTAAAGCTTTAGGAACTTTAAAGCTTGCTTGTGGTTGATGCAAGATTCCGTTGTTTTTGCAAACAAATCCAAGTGTTTAAGGGTGAATCCAAGATCCAAGATTGCCAGACACCTGTTCGCAGAATATAGGATTTTTTTTCCCCGGTAGCCGACCTCCCCCCTCCAACAAAACATAAATAATCAAAAAAAAACGTATGTTGGGTGGATCGGCCCTGAAAGCAGCTGTGACACAAACTTTAAAGACAACTTTGAAGAGCTTAAGCTTTTCCGGGCGTGGCTAGGAACCATGATTTCCTCAAAAGGCTTCCCTGATGTTTTCTTTTGCACAACTTTAGGTCTTGAATATTCAGGTCTTGAATATTTCCGCCCAAGCAATATTTCATTTGTATCCAAGAACTAAAGTTCGCTTTTGCCTATGGGGTCTGGCTCAATCTAGGAGGTGGCCAGTTGGGACCTTCACAAATGATAGCAAACAAGGCTGACGCATACTATAGTGCAAGTTTGTATATGTTTACTAGAATATGTATGTGATAATGATATCACAGATGTGTGTCTATTCTAGTTATAGGGTGAACATTGACCAAGGAAAGCAGGAGCTGCGCAAGCCCTTGCCGGACAGGCACAGGCAGTGGACATACTCCTTGCCATTCTACAACCATAATCTCCGCAACAGCGTGGCGAGCTACAGGGCCTCCTTCATCGACAATGAGCCGGACTGGATTGATAAGCACCCCCTCGGGTACCGGCCCAACCGCAAGCAGGGTCACAAGCGCGCCCCGTTCTGGATCCTAACCATCCCTCGGTATACCATTCAGGATCCGCTCTACACCTCAACGACCCACGAAAACATGAACGCTATCTATGAGGAGATTGGTTACGCCAAGGCTCCCAACTACTCCGGAGAAGCAGCGGAGTGAGACTATGATTGGCACCCACCGAGATCCACCGAGTGGAGTGAGTCATGAGCAGAGGGACTGGCCGTTTCGATCTGGCCGCCCCTCTGCATGCGGATGGCTTTGAATTGTACCCCTCATATGCGAGAAGATATCAACATAGAACTGCAATAAGGAAAACGGTTACCAGAGGTTTCTGGGAGCGCTTACAGTTGGATTGCATATCGCAAATGGAGGGTGCTATAGCTATTGCTGACCAGGGCAACTCTTGAACAATGCCCGTGTGAAGAAAAGAAGGTCAGCATGGGATTGACCCGTATGAAGGCGGCACCGATGAGAGGAGGCTTCTTAAAATGGAGCCGTCCCCAGCTAACAGTGAGCACGCCCCCAATTATAATGAGCGGTGCGTGGGTGAAACTGGATTGCACACTATGTGCCACTCTTTGGCATCAAACCTTAGCATATTTGACAGCATTGTTGTTAGCTTGCACCTAGTTAGCCCCTCCTGCCTCCGTGGCACGCTGGCTTGCTTCAACTTCCTGATGGGTTTTCAAAGGAAACCGATGGACACACCAAGAGCACCAACCATGTCAAACACAACCGCAACATGTGAAGTACCCTAGCTGGAGATGTGGGCCCTCCTTTCGACATGACCCACTGGTTAGGAAACCATGCGGGCTCGCCAGGGGTGTCCTCTGAAGTATGCCCAACATATGGCCTTACTAAGGCTTACCAAGTCTCACGAAGGCTTACCCAGCCAGCCTGCTATTTGGGGATGACTCTCTAAGCATGGCAGATCAACAGACCACTTCTCATGGTTGGAGGGCGCACAAACTCTTCACCTCCCACTGGGCCCCGGCGTTCGGGCAGCGCAGGAGCCCGGCTTCGCCCAGCGCGTGGCGGAGGCGCTCTGTGCCGCCAAGCCCCAGCGCACCCGCGAGGCAGCCCGGCTTTAGACGACGTCATGCAGTCCAGCTGCAGGACGTGCGCAGCTTGAGCTTGCCCGGCCAAGTTGCCCTTGGTCAACTTGACGCCAAGCACGTGCCTGGGGCGATGTTTGCAACAGAAGCTTCCAGGCTTGCAGATCAGGCCGCTGACCTCGTCAAAAAAGTGACCTGGGCCCTTCGCAACCATTCAAGCAATGCGAGTAGAGGCAGCGACAGGAACTAAGCATGTCACTTTCTTCTTGGGAGGCTTCGTGTTAGTTTGGCAAAGTTATGGCCAGCGGCTTCGGCACTTCGCGTGGCCCCCGTTCTGGTGCTGAGTATCTCCTTGGCAGGCAGCCCTCATCATTGAGGACTGGGTGGTTTCGGCGGACTGACTTAAATTCAAGTCTTCACTTTCCCGCGGAGTTTCAGTTTTACAGCAGAACGGTGCCCTTTTCTTGGATTTCACCGTGAGCTGAAACTGGAGCATTTTTGGAGCAGGAGGCGACGGACGGCTTGTTAGGTTTTCCAGTTTGCTGATATGTGAAGTTGTGGCGGTTGTTCTTCAGGCGTTGATGGTAAGCTGGGTTTGTGGACTCTGTTGCTAGGAGTGCGCCCGCGACCTTCCGCGAGGGCGAGTTCATGTGGCAACCAAGCACCGACACCTAGCATGGGGCTGCTTCTGTGTAAGTCCATTTTGAGTCATGTCCCTTTTTGGCCGATCTCAAGTGGAGGAAGCCATGGCTCAGGACTTTCCAAGCTCTGCGGATTCTGGTGAACGGCCGGAGGCCAAGGCCGCCCACCCCAAAAGAACAGTGATGCCCACATGCTGTCAATCCTGATGGAGGCCCGGGACGCACTTGGCGAGAGGAAATGATGTGCTGGTTTTGAGTAAGTACTTTGCGAGCCGAGCAAGTTGTCACTCTCGCAGCGTCATGCTGGCCCAAGCCTACTTTACAACCTGCCCAGGGTTTGGCAGTTGGTATTTGTGGGAAACCGGTGCCAAATGTCACTCAAAGTGCGTAATTAGGCTTATGCAAGACATCAGGTGGTACCATAGCAATGGGAGTAGCAATGAAGTCACAGAGTGGTTGGTGGCATCACTCTGCCAAAGCATTTTCCCAAGCCATGCCACAGAAGAGAGCCTCAAACCAGGTCCTTTTCCCGTTAAGCTTGCGGTTGAGAAGATGTCGCCCTTGCGCTGCTTGCTTCTGATGGCAGCGGTGCTTCGGGCACATGCACTGCCAGTCACCTTGGCCTCTCGACAGCAACATACAGTAACTCAGCACCGCTCCTAGTGCAAGCCTGTACCAGAGTTCCAGCGAATTTGGTCGGGGGTACGGAAGTGGCCCAATTCTCTTTTGCACAGTTCTGCGAGCTTGCCTGTGCATGAACCTGCTTGGTATGGATGAAGATGCAGCCTGGGGAGGCCGATCTCTGGCGTGGAACTTGGGCTAGTAACTAAAGGATCTACGCGCCAGTGGCTTCTTTCTGCTTGGATTCGTTGCTTTCTCTGTTGGGTGGCATGAAACCACACGGTGGATGGATACAAGTAGTCGAATGCATGTCTCTCAGAATCGCCTGTTACTTGGTATATGCATGTCAAAGGAAAGTAGGGAGACACAGGCCCAACTCACAGGTCGACACACATACACACAGCCGCGGTTTGCTTTTGGGTGACGTTGGCATCTCCTTTATGTTCAATTGACGTAGAGTGCTTAGGGAACCCTCCGGCCGAATCGAATCTCATACCCAAGCTTGGGAATACCACAGCCATGACTTCCCTCGTGACTGATTTTCTGAGGAATAAGTCAGGGTTTGCAGCTTAGGTAAACTCGACCATGCTTCAGCACCTAGAGGACGGCAAGCACCTCTTTGTGCTGTTCTCGGATTCGGAGTTTGACAAGGCACGCAGGGCCGACCGAGCCAGTGCACCTGGATGTCATGATTGTGTTTCCGTTTGAGGGTCGCGCCTTTGTTTGTTTGCCGCTGGGTCTGATCCAGCGTGCTTACATTCGTTTGTGAACATTTAGCAGGGTTCCTCAATGATATAGTACGTAGTATCATGACCTCTCATTTAGTCTTTTTTGTTGAGAGGTTGTGTGCATGTTCCTTTCTAGGCGACCAATTGCCAGCAACATGTCATGGATGGACGCTGCCGCTCAAGCCTTGGTGTCCGGGCAGTGCATGCTTGTGCTGGTGGGGAGGGCACTCTTCGGGCTTACATGTTGACAGAACAGTCCCTTCATGGCAAGTTCTCGTTGGAGCCTAAGGCAACAAACACCTGGAATACAACTTGGGAAGCGCCTGTTTGCCTCCGCCTGCCCGAACTTTGGATCAGTTCGAGTTGGGACAGGTTTGCGCCAGCGTTGTGGCGGGGAACAAAACAAAAGTCAACGTGTAGCAACCAGACGCTCGGCTTTGCTTTGTCTTTGCCCGTGCCCCTATACAGATTGGCCCTCAAGTGGTTCAAGTTTGATTCCTTCCTTGCATATCGCCTCGATTGGTTGTGATTGCTTTTCAGCGAAAGTTGTTCCCTCTAGCTTGCACCTTCCCAACTCATTGGATGATCCAGGCTGTTTTGTGCAAGGCTTGATTCAGGACTGGACGAGGCCAGAAACAGACTTCGTTCCGAGCAGGTTCGATTCAACATTTAATTATTATTTGAACATGGGCGGACAGTTGACCAAAGCCTGGAGGATAGGCAGAACTCTGCGACAAATTGGCGGACTAGTGACTGGCTTTGTGTCGTTGTATCATCCTTTCCTGTTTGGCCTGGAGCTAGACGTGGCAGGCAAGACACCCATTGACCTGGAATCGTCTTGCCTGGTCTGTTGCAGCGTCGTGCCCCGTGGCGAGAGGCCATACGCAAAAGGGAAACGCACAGCGCCATGTTTCTTGGATAGCCCCAACCACCGCAAGGCAGCCCGCCTCGCATTTCGCGCCAGGCTGACGGCGCGCACAAGAGGGAGAAGCAGGCCTGGGAGCAGCTGGGGGAGCTGTACAAGGACAGGCACTGGATTCACCTCAACCCCCCCTCCCGAGAAAAAAGCAAAAAGACAAATACCTTGAGTGGAGGATGTGATTTCCAGAGGAGCTTGCTGCAGGTGGCATTTGTGTTCTTTTGGCAGATTCCCCGCCAACAAGGGCAACACAAGGGTCAGCCTAGCCCTTTGCTGCCAAATTGGGGGGTGACTTCGAGTATGCACGCTGCGGCCGAGCGATCTAAGGTGTGTCTCCCTCGCCAGGAGGACCCGAAGATTCTTGTGGGCCATGTGCACTGCTACGCCAGCGCGGAGGAGGTCAAGCTCTGCCGAGAGCCGCTGGACCGACTTGGATTTGGCCGATGAGCCGATCTGTTTGGCTGGGCGGTTATGACATGGCGGAAAGGTGTAACATGGACAAGTCACAACTAAGAGGGGATTTTGGTGCAATTAGGTTGCGCATGTCAAGGCACCTTCATTGGCTTGTGATGTGCTTGGTTTGAGCTGTGTCGGGGGTGGGCGCTTTGCAAAGCCATTGCAGGTGTTGAAACCGATGTTATAAGAGGATGTCCAATGGCGTTCAACACAGCACAGTGTCAATGCGATTGGCCAGAACAATGCATCAAGGACTTTGCACGCGGGGGAAAGCAGGAAAGATATGTGGGTGGAAGTAAGAAGCAGAGCCCTACGGCATCAAGTCGCACCTGTCAAGCCATGACTTGTTCTTCTTTTTTTTTTTTGTCTGGCTTGCCTCTGGTTATGTTTGCTTTGTTATGACGGCCCAGTGGCTATGCTTGCCAGGCAGCGCGCGGTGTAGATTCGAGAGACTTGATTTGCCCGGGCATCAGGCACAAGATCACTGGATACCCCACGTTCGCGCACTACAAAGGCGCGATCACGTTTTGGTGTGGCAATGATCGGGCATGGAAAGCAAACGGTCCAAATCAAAGCTGGCAATTGCCTGTTTGCTTTAGTTCTTAGTTTGGGCTTTCAGCGTCGGTGGGGTAAGCTGCCAGGAACGGTTCTCAGTTGCAAGTATGGCGAAAGGCAGCCTCAGCAAACCCCGTGTTTTACGTGCACTGCAAAGAAGTCCGGGTAGACAGGACAGGCCGACGTGCGGCTGGCACTGTGTCAGCCGCACGCTGCGCATGTTTCTGCCTTTTGCAGATCTCGAGCCCCTCGTGTGAGTTCAGTCAACGTTTGACTTCTTGAACTCTGTGCCTGCGCATGTTTTCGCGCCACCAGCCGCACAAGTCCTGCTGCACAAGCAGCCTGCAGGCGACGAGTGGCAGACTCCAGGCGGCTCGGCTCGCTGGTGTTTTGTGCGAGCTCCTGGAATCGGCAACAAACCAGATGTCTATGAATTCAAAAAGGGAATAGGAAGGACCGTCACGGGTGGTTGTCTGACTGAAGTCATTGCCTTACCGATATCCATCGGTAGCTTGCGAAGCTTGCGATCACGAGCTTGTAGATTGTAGCATGACGCTTAGCCGCTGAATCTATGTCATGCTCCTATTGTATTTCCGCGCCATCCCGAATAACAAAGTCCGGTCCGCAGAAGTCCCCGTTGTGAATATGTACAAGGTGCACTGGTTGCTGCACTGCTAAAAGATGCTATGGTTCACAGTTCACAACGTGGCTGGCTCGGATGAGCTGAGGCCGACGAAACAACTATGTTGTTTTTGGACACCTGGCGAGCGCCATCATGCAAGCAAGAATCATCTTACGGGAGCCTTCAGGGCGAACTATATACAGTTGGTTCTCTGCCAGTTGAGCATTTGCGTGACTTTCTCACTCGTTCCCTCGCTTTGGCCAGGCAGGAAGCAGATGTACGGTGGCAAGCGGGACCTGGCGCGTTGCCCTCAGTCGATGGATGTTACGCCAGTCATGAGATGTTTTCTTCTTGGGAGGCATTATTGTAGTGTGTGGGTTTGTGAGTGTGTCCAGAAAGGTCTACTTGTTCCATCCGTGTAGGTGTGGCTTGGTGTTGTTGCATTGTCTGTCACGTGTTCAGGCCTTCAGCATGTTTTTCCATCTATTTGCTTCACTCATCGCTTGTTCTTTTGTTGTCCGGTGTGGTCCGGTTCTTGCACATCATCCCCTTGGACACGGCTGGCTCGAGCGTGTGCCTGTTTCAAGCTTGCAGTGTCCGGTGAGCAGCAGCATACCATACTTCTGAGATGTTCTTGGGCTTTGCCTCACCTAGCTGCGCGTGTTTTGTTTGCACTCCAGGCCATTCCTTCGGAAGCCTGATTACTTCACACAGGTCTCAGAATGTTTGAAGAGGCACCCACGGACCAATCGTCGAGTTTCTACAGACACGGGCTTGGGCCTCAATATAGCAACTTCTAGTGCAACCAGCAAACCTAGAATACTTTGGCCAGAACGATCGGAATCAGGAGCCTGCCAAGGCTTTGTACAGCATGTCCTCACTGAAAGTCAATGCAGTTGAAGCCGGGCTAGCCTCTGCCGTGGAGCTGGACACGTTGTTGGCGCAATTCTTGGCAAATCCCGAATGGATCGAACGGGAGACACGAAGCTCACGGAGAATGGTGGACCAGTACACCTTCGACGGTGACCCTTCCAAGCCTCCACCGCACCACCTGCAGTTCATGCAGGCTTTGATGGAGAGGCTGCTGGATTACTTGCGGAGCAACCTGCGTCACGGAGAGGAGCTCGTGCCCATGCAGTGCTTCCTTTGCCTGTACGAAGACGGTGGGGATTCTTGTCCTAGCCACAAGCACGACTGCCGCCAGCTCACCATGTCATTTGGAAGCGAGCGAGCGCTAGTGGTCGAAAATCAGCGGATACCAATGCGCCATGGCGATATTGTGGTTCTGGATGGCGAACGCCATGGATTGCCGACGGAGAAGCGTGCGCAGACCCAGCCGCGAGTGTCCATCAACCTGTTCTTTACAACGTCGCATGACTTGGCCACCAGAGAAGTTAGTGTGAATCACAGACCTCAAGCTGGGTATCAGCGACCGCCCCAGGAAAACAAAAGCAAGGGCGGTCAGCCCAAGGGTGCTGGAAGACAGCACACTACCGGCGAATCCTCGCATTCAAGATGGGGAGGTGACAAAGGGCACGGCAAGCAACTGAGCGGAGAGACGGCAACTGGATTGGAGGCTCATGGCAGGAGACCCAGAGATGACTTGCCTGCCGCGGACGGCGTGGACAGAAAGGCCGGCAGATGGCGCAAAGCCGCCAGCAACGGCGCTGCGAGCGCAGTGTAAAAGGTACAGGCTGGTTTCATTAGTTTTGCAGACACCAATCCTATGTGCCAGGTTCACGCATGTTTAGCCCGAACACACTGTTTAGCCCGAACACACTGGTGACCTTCCATGAAGCAATTGGAGAACTCAACTTTGCTGACGTGAACTTGCAAACACGAGTCCCAGGTTGCTTGCACATTGGGCTTGACGTGGTGCTTGTTCAGTTGGGTTGATTTGGCATCACCCCGCAAGAGAGACAAGACCGTGGCGTCATGTTGAGCAAAAAGGCGGGGTTGAGCCGTCATGTTTCCCGGAGTTCGAGCCGCCCAGGTCGCTGAAAGCATTCGTGGCTGCTTGGCGACGGATTATATGTCGAGCTGTCAGCTGGAAGGTGTGCTTGGGGTCTCTTGAGACGTCCCCAGGCATTGAAACGAGCAAGTGGCAAATTGCAACCTAATCGATTGATATTATTTTGTTCCCGCCGATTTGAGCGGCAGCCGAGGAAGACTTCCTCCGGAAGCCAAAGACGGAGCTCTGAGGGCAAACCTGCTCAGCTTCCGAGAGTGTCAGAAGACCAGCTGAATCATACCAAGCAGGCACTTAAGCTGTCCCTTGGTGAACCACTGCCAGCAGGTTTCAGATTGCCATTCCGTGTGTGAATGGGAGGATTAGAGGCAAAGGTGCCTCCACCTCAGCGTGCGTTGCCTTAAAAAGGAGAATGGCTGCCTCATCTTTGGCGCCTTTGCACACCCGTGCCCAACACCTGCATCCTGGAACATGGCCGGGATTGGAGCGGGACATTGGCGTAGTCATTGTAAGGGTGGCCTGGGGTGCCTGCAGGGAGCCATGGCTAAGACCCCACCTTGGCAACAGAATCGCCAGTCACGCAGCATCCGCAACCGGGTCTTGGCTAGCAGTATTGCAAGGTTTTCTTCAACAACATGCCCCAGGGTTACCTAGTCCTTCGCCCGGCTCCGCCAACATTAATACATTGAACCGCCAGTCAGAATCCACTGAGGGAAGTGACGCTCAGGGGTCATCGTCATGGCTTCCGACACCTTCGCTGCGCCCGAGGTGAACTAAGCGCCTTGGAGGGCTTGTTGCAGAATGCGGAGGATGTCTTGGTACCGGGAGGCAGGTTCATTGACATCGCGCTCATCGGAACGTTTCAAATGGTTGAGTGCACGATGCTGCGTGACCAACACACATGCAAGCTGAAGCACCGAGCCATGGAGAAGGCGGCTTTGCAAATTGTTTTTAAAGTATTTGTTGTTGACTTGGATTTGAATTGTTGACAAGTGGGAGCTGCTTGTAGTCTGGGATGGGCTGATGGTTGGTATGGTCTTACCACTGCTCTAGGCATGATTGAAGTTTTTGAAGTTTCAGTTGTTTTTTAATCTTGTGGGGCGCAGACTGCCAACATCCATTTTGGCCGCACTTTGCAGGCACACATTGGACTTGTCTGCGGTGTTGAAAGTTGACACTGCCTAAGGGTGTGCTTGCATGTTGGGTTTTCGTGTGTAGGCAATCGCTAGATCACCAGCTTAGAAAAAAGGCCTGCCCCATAGCCCCCGACGAAATGCCTCAATCTGTTGGACGCCATCCGTCAACTTATTGAGTTGTTCCTCGAAGAACTTGGCACAATGGTATGCTTCAATTGGATGACCCTTGTGTCCCGTACAAGGCTTACTTGCCATCATCACCTTCCACTCCTTGGAGGATGACCTTGTCCGGCGCAAGGCACGCCGGAACCTTGAGCTGCTTGCACCTTCCTTTGGTCTGCGCGTTGCGCCCGCATGGTGAACTGAAGGAACATGCCGTCGGAGTTTTATGGGAGGCTGCAGGACGCGTGGCCCTTTGATAGATTCTGTGCGCATGTTGTTGCATTTTGGTTCCAGATCGTTCCCGTTGTATGAAGGCTGTGTCGCTATTCCGGTTGATGCCACAATTGATGGCAGACACGCACATGATCGCATGGTCACGGACGCATATGACCAAGCAAAGCGGGTGGACATGATTCTTGCAAAATTAAGACAAACAAAAACAAAGCTCGTCTATCATATATAGTTGACATGTCACATGGCTGCAGAGCAAGCGGGGCGTGTCAATACCATGATTTCTTCCGACTGAATGATTTGTTCACACTTTTTCAGTGTCAATACCAGGTTTCCCCCCCCCCCCCGACAATGATTGTTTCATCTAATTTGTGAAAGCGGAGTTCTTGCTTTTGCCCCATTTGCCCCTCGGAGGTGCGGGGCACGTCGCTGGCCCGTGGTGGCGGCCAGACCTCATGCTGGATTCCGGCGGGATCTCGGGAGGCCGCCCGACTTGGGGCCAATAGGGCGGGGTTTGTCCCCCAGAAGGTCGCCTTCAACAAAAGGAACAAGATGTAACAAGTACTGGCCATGTGCCTTGTTTGGGCAGCTTCCTTTGCCACAGCAGAACTACTAATTCCGTTTGCTCGCCCATGACTGGGGAGCAGAAGTGAAACCTGATGCGGCGCCGCTGTTCTCAGTGTGTGTGACAGTTGAAGATGACCTTTGTGATTAAAAAATATATAAAATGATTTGCTGTTGTTTGTCAGGCAAAAGGGCGCATGGACACGTCAACCTTTCTTATTGTTTTTTTGTAACATTTGCTCACAAGCTCAACGTTTGCCTTTGGTTCCTCGAAAATGGCCCATTGGCCCCAACAGGGAGAAAGGTGCATTCGTTGGTCGCTTTGGATGCTTTCCGTTTGGTTCTGCTCATTTACTGGTGCCATCCATTTGTCCAATAGGAAAAGGCTGTCCGCTTGGTTTCGGATGACCAGGGCCTGCGGCCCAGCGAGGGGGAGGTGGCCTCCAATCCAAGGCGTGAGTGCAACATCGGGCTGTGGCCAGGTGCATGGCAGGTGTACTGACTTCCATTTGCTCAAGACTATGTTTTGTTTTTTTTTTTTTCTCTTTTTTGTTGTTTTTGTTTTGCTCCCCCTGTTGGTTTAAAGGGAATCTATCAAGACTGGAAAGATGTTTGTTTTTTCCCAGGGGACTTACGCAAATGGATGCTGAACAAAAACAGCCGCGAGACGAGACTCGTGGCTTTGGCTTGTGTTGGTTGAATTGGTTGGTGGGAAAGTGGGTTTGTTAGTGGCGCCATATTTAGTTGCTTTGTCGATTTTGTTTACGGGTATGTCATGGGGATGCAGCACCGCACAAACCCAGGAGGGGCAACACCCTCTTCGACACCCCATGCTAGGGTATTGTTTGGAATTCACGAGGCAGCAATCCAATAAGATCCGCCAACATGCTGCCAAATGGGGCTTGTGAGGTCAGCAGAATGTATCATGCGAGAATGGCAGCTAATCGTCCTAAGGCTAACAATGTGTTTGTCCAGCTGCTGTGCTGCTGTGAAGAATCAGACCTTTGCAATCGTATCATGCCGTGCCAATGCCGCCCTTCCACCGAATAACATGGAACCTGACTGGTGGCCTTTGCAAGACCATTTGCGTCCTAAAGAGCACTTTTGGTTGGTTCCACGTGTGTGGGTGGGCGGTAGGAGCATGCATTTTACTTGGAAACAGGCATTTCCAGCCTGCAGTTCTTGCCCCTTCCCACCTCAGTGCTCCAGGAGCAGAAGCGCGCGGCTGCGGCTGGCAGTTCGAGCAGGAATGGGGCATTGGGAGCTTGACATCCTACTGTCAGCGTATGACGGCAGGAAAAGCCATGCGAGGATTGTAGCACTTGAGGTTTCTTGAATGTTGGGTCTGCTATGCTTCCCCGCCCCCCTCAGCAGTGGAACCAAACAAATCCAAAGGGTTGCCCGGATTTGTGTTGGCCGATGTTCTTGGCCTGCGTTTTGTTGCCCTTTTGTTTTTGGTTCTCCGGCAAATCACTTTTCTATTAAAGCGGGCCCTCAACAGCTGCGGGGCTCTGATTTGTTTCTATACAAAGCGGGCCCCATCTTAAAAGCCGGTCTGACATTATGACTCTTTGCCCAGAGTATGGCCAAAAGGCCAAGGTAATGCATTGCCAGAAACATTGACTGGGCTGCAGCTAACGTTGAGTGATCTCTTAAAAAAAAAAAAACATGTATGTGGGGGTGCCGCCAATTCAATGGTTGAGGCATCGAAACGGGAAGTGTGGACAGCGTTCCGTGACACGTCCTTCCCTCGCATCTTGCGGAGTCTGTTCTGAGACGATCAACCTGAAATGGAAACGATGCTTGGTGAAAGACGGTTCGATGCTGGCCAGGCAGCGTCCATGGCGGCAGAGCAAATGAGAAAAAATAGAGGACGTGCCAGAGGTTTGGGGTCTGGTGGCTGCGAACCTTCCGGGAAGCCTTTGACGGGTGCACGGGTTTGTGATTGAATGTCTGTTGTTTTTGCTTCATTCCGTGCAAGGGATGCGACTACACGCGACTATGCCAAGCAACGGTATTACTATACTAGGGTTGGCTCGTGCTTAGCTGCTTACACTTAGCTTTCCGGGTGTGAGACTCCCGCAAAGCTGGAGGTGCCAGAGGCTGCAAATAGAATTATCTAGTATTCAGTATCATGTTCTTTTCTTTGCGTCGCCCTCATGGGTAGAGAAGGCCGCGAGGCTTGGCGGCACAGTTTGCACTGACTCTTTGAACATGCACCCAAAGAATTGCGAGCCTTGTTTATACGTTGCGTGATATGAGGATGGCCCGGTTTTGCTTCTTGCTGACATGCAAATCTGGTCTGCCAACAAGCGTGAGGTGTGCGTGCGAACGTGCACATGTGTGCATGCGGATGAATGCTTGCAGCTGTGCCTTACAAGCTCCTAACTCTCGCACTGACCAGTTGCAAGCTGCCAGAAACATCAACTCTCGGGCATTCTTTGTTGAGCAGCTCAACTCTTCAGCTAGGTGATGAGGTCTGTCCTGAAATTGTTTTACAGGACCAGAATCACCCAGTCCAGACACCATCGCAGCGCTCTGGTTGCCCAGGTGCTTCAACTTCAGTGTGAAGCGCTACACCATTGCCGGGCACGGGCTTCAGATGCACAGAGTTTGTTGCATTGGGTTGGTCTGCTGGTCAGTTGGCAACTGGGATTCCTGGCCAACGAGGTCGATATCCCAAGCAATTCAACCCCGAAAAGAACAATAATTCCTCTTGTTGGGCTGCTGTCGGCCACAGTCACGGCATGAGATGCTGGACGACGCACGGTGCTCAGGACTTGGAACGACTTCAAGGGAGATGACATGTCAGCCTGCCATAATTTTGGGAACGGACAGGCATTTGTGTTTGAGGCTCCTTGCGCAGACCCAAACACGTACATTTACAGGGTTGGGAATTTTGTGCAGTTGGTCAAGACACCCGTTCTTTAGGTTATCAACACTATCAAGCTTGTGGTTAAGACAGAGTTGACATGTAGCCTTGAACTTGTTTGGATCGCCGCTTGAACCTCGTTTTTAAGCACCACCAATAGCTCGGAAACAGTCCACACCCGCGGTCTAGATGGCTCAGATGACACAGCCAGAAGGCTTTGTCATGCTTCGTCTTGCCCGCCCACCCCTTTGTCCTCCAAAGCAGCTCAGGCCACATACAGGTTTGGCGTCGCAGTAGGTGACTTTGAAATTTCCTCGCCCATAGTTTCCCCGTTCTTTGAAAGTTTACAAAGAATATTCCGACTTGTTTCTTGCATGCCAGGGGCTCCTTGCACAACACAGTGTCAAGCAGCGTCTGGGCATTGCATCATGTTTTTCATGTCCAGGAGATGGGACGGCAGTCACTTCTTCTTCGTCGTCCCTTTGAGCCAGCAGGACTGAAGTGTTCGTTGCATACTCGGCAGATTGCGGTCGAGCCACATACCGCAGGCACTTAGAGCACCTTAGAAATCATGACGTGCCATGAGCTTGTGCTTGTGTGACTTATGCGTGTAAGCTGGATGTGAAAGGGTCTGCCTTCTGGCTGCAGGGCTTCAAACAAAGTACCTTTGAGTTCAAAATGGGTACGCTGTGAGCGGGGTTCGGAAGGGTTCAAGATGAAAGTCAGCCAGGAGTGGGACAGCTTCCAGATCCTTGAGGATGGCAGCGCCGGCCCCAAGCGCCTCAGGTTTTGCGGAGTTTCTTTTGCGCCGCTGGCCTAGGCTGGAAGAGGACCCTCTACCCCAGCTGCAGGGACGGGAACCCCTTCCAGCGGCCCCCGCCTCGGACGTGCAAAGTCTGCACGTATTATGCCTATGTCCCAGGTGAAGTATATTAATTCAATTATATATGTGCCCTAGGGTTCAACCCCCATTAAAGGAATGGTTGACCCAATTTGGATGATGACAATCCTTAGGTAAACAATGGTGGTTATATGGACCCCCTTTGTTTTGAACCCCAGGGCCTGGGGCCCAGGGTATATATAATAAGAAGTGCATGTTCTTTGCGCAATGCTGCACGGTTCTGGTTTAGCTCAAGGCATGCCAGGCCTGCGTTCAAACGATTTCGTAAGAAAGGATATTGCAGGCATTTGGCAGGCGTGTGTCTCATTGTGTCTCATCTTCCTTTCTTGGCCATCTGCCCATTCAACGCTGGGCGCACGTATTGTCCCATGATAGTCAATGCGGTTTAGCGTGCAGCCAAACTCTTACAGGAACTCAACATGTTATGTGGCATGACATGGGCAGGTCTTCCACGTGCCCCCAGCCAGCCTCACAAACAAACATGTCGTACTTGAAGCAGAGCCTTGGGAGACCGTGAAGCTCATGTGGTCCTCTCGGATCCACCCTGCGATATTTGAGGGTCGCACCCAGAGAGTCAGAATTGGACGAAGAAGCATCAAGCAATTTCAAGCACGGAAGTGGGCTTGCAAGCCACCCTGTTCAGAGTGACCCGTCCCATTGCCATTCAATCCGCAAACCGACCCGCTGTACCCAACCGCCGAGTCACCAGCTCATGGGTCCTGACGACAAGGGCCATGGCCGGAACTGGACAGGGGTGGGGTGCAGCCATCGGGCGGTTGACATGACTCGATCACCATTGATCACCTTGTCCGTTGAAGAAACATGACAATGATTCATGTTCGCGACCTACGAGCAGTGATGTACAACCTGCGGGTAGATGTGAAGCTTGGCAGTTGTGGCTTTCATGTGCGTAAAGGGTCAAAATGAGCAAGCTTGGATGATCACTTGGTGCCGAGAGCGGTATCAAACTGATCGTGGGCAGGGGCAGGGTTTTGTTCAGGCATTCTTCATTGACTCCAACCGTAGGTGGACGAATGACTCAAACCCTTACAGTTGTAACGCCCCCCCTCGCCGCCGCCCCCCTCCCAATTTCAATGTTATTGCCCGTTTGGAGGGTGAGGCTGGGTGGACGAATTACATCAAACCCGGATAACATGAAAAGCGCTTGTTTTTCGTGCGGGGGGGTGTGCGCCACATTTGTTGGGGGTTTGATTAATTTGTCCATCTACTGAAGGTCAATGGCACATGAACAGCAGCCAACAATTCTGGCTTGTCATGTTCTTGAGCTTTCTCCGAAGGGATTGGGGTGATCTTTGGCACAGAGGTATCCCACTGCCAGCCTTGGGCGGCTGACACGAATTCGGCATCTAATTAGCGACTCTGCTGACTTTGGCAGGGGCGGCTGTTTTGACAAACCATGCAACGCCACGTGCACTGAGCCAGCCATGTGTGCTTTGCCAACTGCCAATGGCGATTGCTGCCTGGCGCAGGACAATTGGCCGGCACGAGGACAAGGGCAAGGCCCGGGGCACCGGTTGGCAGATTGGACGCGGATCCTGCCCCTTTGAACACGGACAGCCCTGACTTTCTGGAGACTTAGAAAGGGCCAACCTAAGGCTACAGTCGTCCTAGGCAACTTCTGCAATCTATTTGCGAGAAGTAATAGTTGTGCAAGTTTACTCCCTTTGCCAACCAGCTTTATGAACATAAAGATAATATAAGTGTTTGTATATACTGTTGTTGTTTCTGCGAATTGGGCTTGCCAGTGGCGTTGTTGAGTTGTTTCTTCGTAGCAGGCAAGCTGTGTAGCTCCATAAGCCAAGGTCAAATGGCGGTTTGCCATTTTCGCACGGATCAAGTTGGGATTTGGAGTGGGTTAGGCCGGGGGTCGCGTTTGAGGCAGCACTGGCAATGAGTTGTGAACCGTTTTGGAAGCTGAAAATGGGATCCTCTTTCTTCAATACAAATACACCACACCCAGACCGTTCCATTTTGAGGGATTCCCGTGGAATGCTGCTGCCACGCTATTGGTTCCTCAGGCTGAGGCGAGGGTGGTCCTTGCCTTGAGAGTGCACGGTTAACAAATTTGGAAAGATTGGGGCCCAGAGAACGACCACTTTTTGATGGGCGGCCACGTGTGGTTTTTGAACTCGCCGGTCATCTCAAAGCAGGCCCTGCAGTTCACGTGCTGCGAGCCAGGCCGGCAGCCTCTACAAGGCCTTGAGCTGAGGGGTGGGGTCAAGGGACTGTTGGCCAAACATGTGCGATGGCCTCGGTCAAGCGCTGGACTCCAGCATAGGAAGCATAGTATGCCAAATGCGGCTGAACAACATAGAGAATGTCTTGTATGTGTTTTGGCTGAATTGTCGCCTGGCAAATGCGTGAAGGGCTGACCTTGGTCCGTGTTTTTTGCTGCAGCTGCGCGCGCGTGCGGTCATAGCGGTCCACGAAGCCGGTTTGTTAGCGTGAATCGTTGCCCCCCAAGTCCAATCCTTCCCCCCAAAGTCCTGGTTGGGCAGCCATGCAATCCCTCAGCTGAATCAAAAGCAAGTTGAACAACACGACCCTGAGCGCACTTGCATCTCAGGCATTGCTCACGATGCATTAAGCAAATGCAAGTTATAGCAAAGCGGGAAACACCCGGCCTCGGCCCTGAGCAGTCCAATGAACCTACATCCACCGCATGCCTTGTTTAAGCCCTGAGGTTGAGCTGCTGTCCGACGGCGTCGGCCGGTGGGGCGCCCAGCTTCTCCCGGCGGAGACCAGATCGAGTTCGACTCGAACAGCTCCAGGCCCGGATCGGTGACCTGGAGGCTGCTACGGGCCCCGGAGGCTGAGGCCGGGGAGGGCGCCGCAAGGAGACATGGCAAGGAAACCGCATGCGGTGCCCAGGCCGTGCTTGTATTGAGGGTATACTCCTTTTTTGGGGGGTTCTGAATGGGCCGCCGAAGAAACTCCTCCCCCCCCCTTTACTCATTTTTTTGTTGGGTTTTGAAATGGGACGCAAAAGAAACTTCTCCCCTTTCAGGGGCTCTCCCGTTCAGAGGCCAAACCAGATCAGTACTTTTGAAGGCTACTGAAAGAGTGTCATGAATTTTCGTGAAGAACTGCTCAACTGAACGCGACCCTTTATTGTAGGGAACCATCCCCAGACCCAGGGCATTTGTTTGAAGGTAGCTGCTCTTGTCCAGCGGCATCATTCATTTTTGCTTTTGACCTTCCGAGAAAATCCGTACAAAACAAGGAGTCATGTTTTCCCTGTCGCTGCTTTGCGCTGTGCTTGATCAGGCGATGTCAATGCATGCAATTGCATGGTTTATGGCCAGCTCACCTGAGGGTAAAACGAGCTTAACATGGCAAAGATCCTGTATTTGGGGCTCCCTTATTTCAGGTTTGGACATATTGTCAAATTTGCAGATGCAGCCAGTTTTGCTGGTCCAGTCCGGAAAGGTCGTACAAGGGCGCCGTTTTCCGAATGCCATTCAGGCTAGCGTGCGCCAGGCGCGCACTGTGCGGGCCACGCATGCTGGGCTTTTTGCACTGCGTCCCAGCTTGTTTGTTATAGGAAAGAATGGTCACAGGGCAGCTAGGGTGGATTTGTTTTTTGCCTTTTTCCGTTAGATATTTGCTGTTTTGGTCTAGCTGAGTCCAGCTGGCCTCTGCATGGAATTGCCAACGATGTGCCCGCCACTGCTTTGTTTTTGTCATAGCTGACAATGTGCTCACTTCCTGCAGCACCTTGTTCGGCATTGGGCTGCGGATTCATTTGTTTGGAGGAAATCCCGCGTTTAGGGACACACTGACTTACGTGCCCACTTGCTCGAGAATTCCTGTCCACCACGAGGGTCGCTACATGCCTGTTTGGCATTGTTTGGCTCAAGTGCGATTTTGCGCACGAGCGTTCTTCCATTTCAGCCAGCGGTGTTTTTTGCTGATTCTTTGCATCATTGCCGCTTAGCCTGCAATTTGAAGAGTTGGTCAAGAACGCGTAGTGCACAATGCTTGGATAAGATATTTGAGTTGGCAGGCATCATGTAAGCAGCATGACTCAACAAACAATGTTGTGGTTTGAAATGACAGGTGAGCCGGTATTTAAAGAAGCCCTCGGACTGAACGTTAGTTCCAGGGAGAACTGTGTAGCGTTCTTGAGGCAAATTCGTTTGAGTCTCCCGGTTTGGTGTGGCTGTGGAGGCTAGGTGGCGTTTTGCAGGATGACTCCGACAACGATTGCTTGATGTGGCCGCACGTGCAGGTCTGATGAAACCTGTCAATGTGCTCTCATGTGGCCACAGCCGACCTTTGACATTTCGGTTTTTCAGTTTTGGCCTAGTCTCAGTAGTGGCCCCAAATGGTTCTCAGTTGCTTTCTCCCTTGGGCAAGTGAGCCGTTCGAGAGAGATGGGTGAGTGCCGAGATGATCGGCCTGTTGATGCGCTCCGTCTTTGGCTTCGGCGGCTTCATGGAGGGCGGCTCCATGCTGATGATGCTCAGCGAAACGCAGGGTCCCAGAAGAGGAAAGCACCACACTCCGGCCCTCCAGTGGTAGCCTCTGTTTCGAGTGGTTGTGGCATGTAAATTCAAGTGCCATTTTTTTGTCCATGGGTTTTGGGTCTGGGGGAGAATGTGCCCCCATAGCCGCTTTTACCCAGGGGCACGACGCATGTGCTTTTGCAACATGTTTCAAGACAGGCTCAAGGAGGATTCCTCAATGGGTCTCAGGGAGCATGTGTATGATTCTTTTGAGTGCCCGTTATCCACAAAGAATGTCCATTCAATGCGTGTTGGCAAAGCATAATTACTAACGAATTCCTTGTTCCGCTCACGGGCACGTGTTTTGGGGCTTTGCTGCGCCCAAGCTTTGGAAGCCGTGTGACAAGCTAGCAAAAGCATGTTGACCAGGCACTGGCGGAAAGATATGCTGGACGCTGGGTACATTTGCGTGCACCCAGGTTATGGGATGAGTGGTTTTCTCACTGGCCCTACTGGTAATTCTGCGATCTCAACCGTCACAATAGGCAGTTAAGAACATAATATGGCAACTGCCCGAGTACGAACAATGGTGCTTGGTGTGCTTGTTCAAGCTTCAGCCCTCCGTTTGCACTGCCAACCCGTGACGACTTGGAACATCCGCAGACGATGACCCCCAGAAGGGACACATGACATACATTTACATACATTATAATAACATAACATTTATGTAATTTCCAGCGTGGTTTTGCATGTGTTTCAGATTAGTGGCACCCCCCCCTTTTAATGCAACATTGATCGAGCTGGTTATGCAATGCAGTGCGGTGCCCTGATTTTTGACCCATTGTGCTTGTGGATTCCTGGATGGGTGTCCTAACAGATGCCATGCAGGCTAAGGCACGACGTCCGTCTAGGCAAATGAGGAGATCATTTCCGAGTTCTGGAGGACTGGGGAGCATATTGTTGCACGAGCGGGCTGTTTAGCTCAGCCGAGGATGGGTGGCGCCCTTGTGGGGATTTGCGCCATTTGCGGTCTTTGGAAGCCCCTTTGGCTGCAGGTGAAGCATGTCGCTGAAATTGATTCAGATCGATTGTTCTCGAATATTATGGTCGGGACACAGTGGTTACCCATGTGCGTTTGATCAGTGCTTTTGATCAGTGCTTGGCGTGACATTGTAGGGGTCCACGAGACAGGATGTCCAAATCCATGCAATGCTTGTCTTCACAAGCCAACGAATGGGGAAGCCACAACCCATACCTACCCAAATCAGCACAATACGCATTGGGGATGCATCAGAACAAGTAACGCATAGGAACGGCTTTGGACACCCTGCAGCGGCCGCTTGCACGGGCCCATTGAGAAATTCTGTCTAGGCCAGGTCCCCCGGCAAGTAAGGAATCCGAATTCAACCAAAGTTTTGTTGGTCAGGGGCCAACATTTGGTGGGGCGCCTAGACAAAGCCATGATGACCGATCCTGCCGGAACGAGGGAATCCATGGAACATTGTCAAAATTGTCAGCTTGCCAGCAGCGCATGGTGGGCAGGTGCAGCAACGGAGCACAGCAGGAGCAACAAATCACTGCGACACTCAACAGTGATTGGTTTTCTGAATTTGATTGTATAGGGGAAGGCTTGCGCTTCCCTCGGAAGAGGCCTCCCCTTGTGAATGCTTGTGTGAAGGAAATCGCAAGACAAGTATCAACCAGCTAAGCAAGCAAGCAACCCAATCACCCCACCAACCAAGCAACCCACCAACCCACCAACTGACCCACCAGCCAGCCTGCCAGCCCAGCCCAGCCCAGCCCAGCCCAGCCCAGCCCAGCCAGCCAGCCAGCCGCAACCCGCACCACCCACCCACCCACAACCAGCCAAGCCAACCCATTCGCCGAACCACAGCCACACCGACACTCTCCCACCAACACAACAACCAAATTGTTGCACGGGAGTGGGCCTCCCAGGTGCCGGAACTGCCGCATGCGCGACTGCGGGTGCATCAAGAGATGCCTGAGAAATACAGGCTGGGGGTGACATCAGGAGCACAGGTGTTTTTGACAAATGCGACCCCCACGGGTCATCTCCAAGAGGGGCTGCAACCACTTGTTTTCCTACTTATACGGCCCTACAACTTAGTTGAAAATGGGAGTCCCTTTGAGACGGAGCTTCTGGTGAGCGTGTGTTTATTGATTTTTGACGGGTGAAGGCTTGGAGAACGGTCGGTGGTTTGAGACACTCGTTGACGTCTCTTGGTTTGCTTGGACGTTCCTTGCTTCCGTCGTGGAGCAGCTGATCTTAACCATGGCTACTTGCAAAATGGCGTGCTTCGGGTTTGTACATGTAGGCTCGTCCGAGCCGGGGATTCTTCAACAGAGGCCAGCAAAGAGCACACGTCATTCAAAAACCACTCTCGCTGAAACACAATCATACTTTCATTGTTTTTGTACACTTTGCCTGCCAGGAACTGAGCATGTACTCAACAGGCTAGAGGAGTACTCACTTCAGTCCATGGCATGCATGTTCGGATCATTCCGACAATGTTTGCATCGAAATAGTTTTCGACATCTTTGTGGCGTAGGTGGTTGGGTGGCAGCATTGCAGCATTGGCTCCAGAACTCCTGTCTCCGCTTTGTTGTTTCCATTGCAATCTCCCGACACCGGAACTGCCTTCTTGCAAGCCCAAGGTGTCGACAAATTCGACGACTTTGAGCTCATGATTGTCGTGCACGAAGCTTTGCGGCGTGGCGAGAATGTCTTGCCTGAGACGTGCCCTCCTAGGGCGCAGCATTTTCGCATGGATGGAAGGTTAGCAGGCCTGGTGGGAAATGTGTACGGTTTCCCGGAGTGCCAGGGCATTGTGCGCGTGTTTTTGTTGGGTGTTTGCGGGATTCGGATGCCTTCAAAGGGAGGTCCAGGTGAGTTCAAGCAATATGAAATGCCATGCTGCCAACTCTGCTTTGATCCAGACAGACGGTTGTTGGCAAAGCTCGCTTTTGTCTTTGCAGGAATGAAGGTTAGTCAATATTTGTTGTTAACTTCCTCGAATTGGTGGTTCTCATTGGTGTCTTCTCGGGAATGAGAAGGTCCCTAAACTCCAAGCAGCCTAAACCACCAGAGTCACCAGAGGCTCCAGAGAGACTTGGCCTCAAAGCTGAGGTTCACAGGCGGCAAGGCCAAGAGCAACGTTTGTGTGCGCATTACCGCGGGCCTTGAGCACCTTGGGCGCATAGACCCGCAGCCGAAGGGGTTCCTGGGCTCACTTCTACAAGCATGGTTTCGGTTAAAGCCCGACTTGTGAAGGGGTAAAAACATTGCTTGATAGATTTTGATATAGTGTTCGCCTTTGCAAAGATGTATAGCACGGACTATCAGCCATGTATAATATGATCTAACGCTGGGGCAAAGCAGGCTGCTGAGGGAATCGCTCGAGGACACAATTTGTGATTTGTTTGTAGGCCCCTGTAGCAAGGCACTTCAAGGAGGACACCATAGACCAACATTGCATTTATCCCAACACTAGAGGACAGCACGGCGAAGCAAGACACGTCCGGCAATCAGTGGAGCAGCACAGCAAGGCCCAAGCCCTCCCACATAATTCTCCTGGCTGCTTGCCGCTGCCAAAGTGCGAGGTGTGTCCAGACAGGCGAGAACTCCAAGGCAGTGTACCACGAGTCGTTGAGCATCCTGGTGGAGCAGGGCACTGACACTGTGGTGGTGGAGCAACCTGGCTGGAGGGCACAGGCATGGGGCTTCACGGAACCTGAGCCCTTTGTGAAAATGGGGCATGAGCCATTGTTGTAAGCGCCGGTGAAAGACAGGCCAATTTCTTGCGAGGACTTGACGGTAGTCCTTGAGCAATTTCATGGATGGCCAACACCAGTGGGGGTGGTTCCCATGTCTCACACCGTTCTGAGGCATTTCCCGAGTGGAGCAATTCCAGTATGTTGACAAAAGCTTGGTGTTTATGTTGAGCAAAGTTGAATCTACTTTGCTGCAGCAATCGTCTTGGTACAGCAAGACCCACATTCAAGGACAGGCAGTTTCTGACTTTGCGGTGCTGCGCTCCGTAACGGCATGTACCCAGGCTTTGGGACGTGCGAGAGCGGCGGTCTCTGGCAAGCGTGAAGTTTGATCCCATGAAGGAGCGGCTTCAAGATGTTCACAGTTTTTGTGTCCACGGGCCCCAAACCAGCTGAAAAAAGGAACAGCAACCACACATTGTCCAGTGGATTCACGTGGACCAAGAGTTATACTGGCAGCATCCCCACTCCATTATTTTTCTCCTGTGCCCACTGGACAAACGTATGCAAGGGCACTGTTTTTGTTTTTGGGGGACCGGGGGCCATGCAGTTGCGCAGAAATCCAGGGGTTACTGAGATGTCGCAGGCGTTTGTTTTATTTGTGGGACAGCGCCATCAATACACACAGGAGGCCGACATAATTAATAAAGATCAGGATGGCCAGGATTTGCCAGCGCTGGGTTGGCATGAGTTAAAAAAGGACGTCGCCATCCGTTGGATGGAATGCGATTTGCCAACGGTCAGTCACATGCGCATACTCGTTGCAATATTTATCTATATATTGTGCAAACATAGAATGTGCATATAGTAGCTGGTGGCCATGTGTTTTCTTTCAAAGATAATAGCATAGAAGTGGCTTCCCGCTTGGCATCTGCAGCGCTGCAGAGCGTCGGCCATGACATTACAACTCGTGATGGCACACCAAAGCTAGAAGTGACCCCTGCAAAGGGTCGCTGGGCCGAAGACCCAACTGCTGCAGGACGCTAAACGGGCGTCAGCTGTTGAGTTCTAGCTTGCATGACGTGCTAATTATTTTGTGCAGCACCCTCCTTGGTCCATTTGTTAGTCTTGGCTGTTGCCGGGGGTTGCCATGGGAAGGCAACCCGCAAGCACTGCCATTTGCGAAGCTCGGACAGCTCCCCATGTCTCTCCCGCCCTTCTTCCTGGACGGGCGAAAGTATTCTGGGTTGTCACAAGTCCAGGTTCCTCAGACTGACTCAGGGCCAACATAAGTAATGTCTTATATCAGGCACTTTTGGGGCGGCATCCACCATTGGAAGGCGTACTCTCAGCTGGTAGAGTTCCAAAAAGCAAAGCTGCCAGCGCCAGGACCTATTGAATAGCGAAGACCTGGGCAGGGAGAAGGTGTTTTCCATGAAGCAGAAGACCAAGGGCCTCTTGAACCCTCGCGTAAGGCACCGGCTTTCCTTGATTTGCCAGCTTCTTTTCCTTTCCCATGCGGGCTGGCTGCCCTGATCATGTACGTACACCCCTTTGAACTGCGCAAGAAGCAAGGCTTAAGATTTGAGACTGTGGCCCTTGTTTAGCGCGACACCAGGCTCAGCATCCACCTGGACACGGATGAGGGCATGGAGAAGGGCCTTTTGCAAGATGTGGACATGAGCTGGCGCCCAAGTCCACCATGGGTGCCGGAAAGCCAGCCTAGCCATTGCTTTTGATAAGCCAATGGCACAATGGGACCCCTCGCGAGTTGCAGGTGGCTTGGAGAACACCACGAGCGGATTGACTGAAGTGTCTGGGCAGATGTCGTGCAGTCAGCAAGACTGCCGCAGCCGTTGCGGGCTCGTTTGGTACCTGGCAATCACGAGAAGGATGTTAAATGTTCGGCACGAGGATCAATTCGCTTGAGCATAGTTGCTTTCCAAGCCGGCGTTCAACAACAAGCAAGCGGGGGACGAGCAAGCGCCGCGACAAGCAAGCGAGCAGGGGATCACACATTGCCTCACACCAAAGCGAAAAGTACAATCTTCCTTCCAGATGGGCCAGTAAGAGCTTAGTGCCTTTTCAGCCCAGCTACAGCACGCAATGACCACTGCTGCAAGCCAGCCTGTAATTTTGCAAGGCTCGTCAAGGCCCTCCCTAAACGTGGACCCTTTGCACCCCGCCCCTCCGTGCCAAGGCTGCCGAGTGGACTGCGTGCACCATTGCCTACCCACCCACCCATTACCTACCCACCCACCCATTGCCTACCCACCCACCCCACCTCCCCCATGTGTCAAAACTACCTGGTGGTGGAGTGGGCTGCGTATTCCATTGCCACCCTCCTGTCGACACTACCTGAACGTGGTGGCGGTACGGACGCCATCACCCCACCCAGTCGTGGTTGAGTGATGGCGAAAGTAGGCGCCCGCGGGTGTGCATCCACACATAGATGTGTATATATATATATATATATATAGAGGGTTTCTGTTTATGTACGTAAATGTAACTCTGTTGTATCCAGCATCAGCTGATTGTCTGCCAGATCCTGACATTGGCAGCATTCGGTTGACGAGGCCGTGAGACAGACATGCTGCTGCGCTCCCAGCTCCAGAAGGCGGCTCGATTCAACCACCCGGGCTGTTGCCTGAGGCAAAGAAGGGGGCAGTCGTAGAGTAGGGCACCCCCCGGCTTTCCCTGGAGACTTGTATGAAAGCCACAAGACATGTCCCGTTGCCGAGAAAGGCTACATACGCCCCTCCGCGTTCCAGGCTCTTTTTGGTGCATGATGCGCGTTTTATCGCTGGTCCCGGCTCTTTTTGCTGCACGAGGTGTGTGTTTTTGTGTGGGTGTGTTTGTAAATGGGTCGCTTGAGCTACTAAGTCTTGAGAGGGTCCTTCAACGCCAGGCTCAGGCCAACGAGCGTGCTCGCGGCTCCCGTGAGGAGGGCGTTGCCAAGGCTGGGGTTGATGGCAGCGGCAGCATAAAAAGAAGAAGATTCTTTCGCGATCACGATTAGTTCTTTTGTTTTGGTCCGTATGTTTAAGCCATGTTTGACCATTTTTGTTTCATCACTGCCTTGAAGTGATTTTGAGGTTTGGCTGGACCATGCAGTTGCTTCCTGGGACATTCTCTCCCACACTTCGGCGCAACAGGAAGTTCAATCCATCCCCCCGCGCAGATAATGATTAAGGAGGCTACCAACAACAATTACACGAAGGGATGGGCTCGAGGATGTGTAAGCGAGCTCGTTTGTGATCGCATTACAATGGAGCAACATGATGCAACATGTGACTGCTCCATTCATTATGTTTTGCTCATCCATGATCCAGTTGTTTCCAGAGGTAGTCTGCTCTTCTAGAAGCTTGAATTGAAGTGACGGCGGGAAAGCGGCCCCGCATGAAATGTTGCAGGCCAATGGCAAGCAAGATTTTGGAATACTATGCCACACTGCTTGCGCAGCGGGGTAGTCAACACACTATGCTTGTTGCCCATTTCGGATTAGGGTTGTCAACCTCTAATGTTTCCCCTTGCAGTTGCATTGGGGCACAACCTGTTGGCAGCCTTGCTTGGTGTTTTTTGATTATCGCTTTCTGCGCAGGACGCTCCACCTCAAAAGGAGCTGTCCAAGGCGGGTTTGCATCATCCATTGTCCATTGGTCTTGTCAATGGCTTTGACCGATGCTACCTTCCAGGATTTGTTCATTGTGATGAGTCAGTTGCTATTAGATATTTTCAATGCCAGAATTGTTTTGTTTTTTTTGTTCCTGAGTTAACGCGTATGACAGTGGCATGGAGGATTGTAACTTCGAGGTAGCTCCTGCACATTTCAAAAAAAGTAAGAGGTGCCCCTGGGCCATATATGTTTGGCGTTGAGCGCTGGCTTATGGATGGCGAATAGAATGCAAATGGGGGATTTATTCGGGTTGAAACGACTGGAGATTAGACCTTCAACTGGAGCCTGAGGGCGACCATGGCCCAAGAATGAGGCGCTCAGTCGAATGCAGTGTGGCTTCCTGAGGTGGAGCTCTTTGCCAAGGGCTGCGCAGGACAGGGGCCCCAGGTTTCCTGAGCAACAGGGGGGTGCTCAAAGGCGACTCAAAGGTTGCTTCCATTTGCTGAAGTGCTTTCTTTTAGGAAAAAAACTCCCCTGTTGGTTTTAAAGGGAAATATTTTATTTAATTTTTCCAGGGGTCTTAACCGAATGGAAGGTTGGGCTCGCTTGGGGCTCAACTGGTTTGGGCGGCAAAGGGAACTGCTAGTGCAGGCAATGTCGGGGCAAGGTGGACCAGACTCTCGGAATCAGCAATCTCCAAGTTGCTTTTGGCTTTGCATCACCCTGCCTTGAAGGACCGTTGGACCAATTTGGCTCCTGGGGAAGCCGTGACCAAGTGTGGATTGCTGTGCGAGGAGCGGGTTTGTTCTGGAGTGTGAGAGAGCAGGTCCTGCGGACTGTTTTTGCATAACACACCCTCCTAATACCCCACCAAGAGCGAACCTGCACATCAACAAGCAAACCATCAACTTACAAAGGCTGGGTCAAGTTGAATGGCAGTTGCCCCGCCAGCGAACAGCATCAACTTTCAAGGCATCACGTCGCGTGAATCAGTTTCATTTCCGCCCTAGCTTGACCGGCCAAGGGCCTAAAGCAACCGGGCACTCAGCCAACAGTGCAACAATGGCTTGTTTTGCCAAACGACGCTGAACTTGGGGAGCCCCGCTGAAACAATGGCCGGCAAACACAGAAACCAGCACTGGACGTGTAGATTGCAAGATCAACAACGAGAGTTATCACGCGTCAGGGCATGTCCAGTGCATGGCCGGGCTCAACTTCGGTCTCAGTTCGTATTGAGGGTACCCCCGATTCATATTCGGAACAGAGGAGCGCCGACTTCCAAAGTTTGAGTGGAAAAGGACCCCCGGACCAGAAGCGCTACTCCCTGTGCATCTACCCCGATGAGTCGCACTGCAACAAGGGCGGAGATCCTGCCTTGGAGGTGGACCTGTTGAAGGCGTGCGGGGGAGAGATGAAGCGTTTCCCCGCTAAGCTGTCAATCATTGCCGAAAAGGCTGTCAATCGTGCCCTTGGCTGTCAAGCTGGCTTAAGGCAATCGAAGTGTTATTCAGGAGCACTTGCTCATTCAAGGGATGTGACAATGTCGCAAAATATATTCGATTTACTTCTGGTTGGTTGCCCCAGTTCTTCGCCAACACTCAAAAGCCACAAGTCACCCGCTTTGGCGTGAAGATGTCAGAGAAGGCAACTTGACAAGCACATGAATCAGTATGAGCCGACTGCAATTGTCCAAGCTTATGTCCAAATAGACTTGTTGCATTCCTGGACAGGGCCCCTCTCAGATGGCTAAGGTTCGTGCTACGCCATTGAAGCATTTTCACGAAACAGACTTTCCTTTAAAGACGCGCTTCAGGAATAGGCCAAGAGGGTTGCAAGTCGTCCACAGAATCATTCTTAGTTACAGCTAACATTAGGAGTTGGAATTGTTGGGTACCTTTTGCGTCCTATTCAGGCAACATCCGATATCCTGTTTTGGGATCCGTTTCGTTGAACATCTAGGTCCTTCAGTAGTGCCCTTTTACCTTTTTTGGTTGGGAGGGTTCCCCTACCAGCATAGACTACAGAAAAAGAATAGGGTACCCTTATTCTAACCTCTCTACTGGAGGACCTAGACATGCGTGGATTCCACGGGTTTCTGTTTGGCTGGGCTCAGCCAGTGCACAAAAACGGGCAACCAAACAACCGGCTGAGGTGCTGAGCGTGCAGCCCGACCCTGCCCGGGCGGAGGTCTTCATCATCAATTATGTGGAGAAGAACAAGGCCCTTTTATGGTTGTTGTTGGGAAGCAGTTGTCATTTTTGCTTATTGTGGTTTAGTGGTTGAAATCTCCACTGAACTGCTAAAAGCGCTTTGTTGTTGACATGTGGCTGTGGGTCAAACCAATGGCTGTGGGTGAAAACCATCCGAGCGATGACCTCAGACCTTGCTAATCCAGCAGCTTTGACATGGCTGTGGTTCAAAACCAATCGGATCCCATTTTGGGGCCGGTGAATTCACCACCCATTATAGAACCTATTTTAGTGGGGATTGGGATGTTCACTGGGGGTACGGGATTTTGACCCATAGCCACGTGCTGGTTGCAACTGTTTGACATATTGTTTTGGTTTCTATATTTTTCAATTGCCGTAAAAAGGATTGAAACTGACCCTTCGGTGGAATGATTGAGGTGTGGACTTATGACTGCCATTTGGTTTGAGTGTGTTCCACATTGAAATTCATTATGACAAACAACTGTTCCGGGTAGGTGATATTCGTACAACTGCGAGCGAGCTCACGTGCCAGGAAAACGGGCTTGCTCATGATGAAATGTGCTTTTGGATTCCTTGAATTTATGTAAGTTTTCTGAATCATGATTTCACAGTCATTTGCGATTTAGGCAGGTGTGTGTGTGTGTGTGCAGGTGGGCAACTGAAAAGTAACAGCTCCCACCACCCTTGCACAATAATAATAAATTTCAACTATTTGACGCGGTAATGACATGTTTGCGGCGGAGCATGACATATTCACCGCTGACGTTCCCTCCTGTGATGCCTCGAATGCACTCCCGGCTTGTTGTGTGTTTGTTGAGTGGTACATCGGGCACATTGAGGATATTGAGAGTGCATACGTTGAACAGAACTTCCCACACTTGATTGTTCAACTCAGTTATTCAAAGCTGACTTTTTGACCTTTCGGTTTTCCCTTTTTGATCCATTTTTAGTCATGATCCCAAAAGGTTAACCGTTTAGGTCCTTTGGGCAACTGAGTCAAAGAGAGAGCCGCAAGGGCCCAAGGGGCTGCGAGCTAGGTGAAACAGCGCCTCACGTTCTCCCGCATCGACCGCGCACGGGACATTTGGGTGGAGATGCTGACGCTGCCCGGCGGTTGTACGCGATGCAAACGAAGATGGTTTCGTGATGGTTCTCATTTAGGAATTCATGAAACTATTGACGCTTTGCCACCGCCTGGTTGCATTCGGGATGTTGCGAGCAACCCAGCGGTGGTCGATTCTTTCCTAGCTTGGTGGAACTTATGTGAGCTTGTTCCTGCGGAATCTGCTTCATGAAGGCATTTGATGGCCTTAAATTATTTCCACACTCTTGGACGACCTGTTTGCCTGTTTGTATATTCATCCACGGCTTCCAACTTGAACAGCGTGACCACGCGTGACAATGCAACAACCCCCAGGGCCTAAGGCAAACTCCAACAATGAAGCACACCCAGATGTCGATGATTTTTGCAGGCAGCCAGCTTGGAATGACCGATGGCGGTTGGATTTGTGCGACCTGACCTTCCCGGCTATCCCAACATCAACCTTCAGCTGCTTTCTAGTTGACTTGTTGCATTCCTTGTCAGGAAGGCCACACACACCGCGACAATCAATCAGACTTAGGAGGAATGGAAGCTCGAAGCGCTTTGGTCAATGCACGCACGCGGATGACTGGTTTGCACTGAGGCTGCTTATCACCATGATCCGGGAGGACAAAGAAGCGTGACTTGGCGCCATCAGGTCCTTCATATTCCGATTCCCTTGATAGCAAGGGGCATTCCGGCTTGCATGTTGGGTGAAGCGATCCTATATATTCATTCTTGAGTGGCTGTGGTATCTGCCTGTTGAGCGGGAATTCTGACGGGTTTTGTTGAGCAAGATGTCGATGGCAATAGGAACATTGACAGGCATGGACGGGCATTGGGCATACGCAGAGAACAGACACACACCCCTTGTGAGTTCATATTGTTGGCAACTATCCATGGTGCGGTTCCTGAACAACACAGTTTCAGTGGCGTGCAGAAGGTTTTTCAGTGAAACTGGGCTGGGTGCACTTCAACGTGTCCTAGATGCATTGTCCTAGATGGATTGGATCATTGGATTTCTGCGTGTGATGGAATGGGAGTGGACAGTGAGCTGTGTTTCTTCAACTTCGTAAGCGAGGCCCGCCAGGGTGTCAGAGTGATGTGCCACGACGTGCTGCAGTTTTCCTGCGTAGTTGTTCAATGCTGGCTGGTGTCGCCAGAAGTCAACTGCTCACCAAGGAAGTCAAGGAGCAAGCAGAAGTAAGCTGCACCCCACTGAGCTGCCATCACGTCTCGCACAAAAAGCTGGGCCGAGCTCTCGCTCTTGGAACCCACTTCTGTACCTCTTCATTTAGGGTGTTTTTGTTGGTTGGAATCTACTCAGATTCCTGTGCAGACTGGCACTGTGATGTTGCTCTTCGCTGGTCACAGGGATGCAAGGCTAATACGCTCATTGCTGCGTTTAAAACAGAACCGCAGAAAGACAAGCTTTTGTTTGTGATGTTAGGACTCCCAAATCCTTAGACTTTTTCAGACTTGCTTATATTTGTTGTATTGTCCGAGATGCTTCTAGTGTTTAAACAAGAAAATGAAAACAAAGAAACATCCTTAGACTTTTCTAGGTTTGCCAGGGCTTGTGGAAGTGGTGCTGCTAGAAGCCTTTGGTGACTGTCACTTCCCGAATCAACGGAGTAGCATGTGTTTCAGCTGCAGTTGGGGGCCTTTTGTGAATTTGGCAGGTTCATTTGCTCGCCAGATTGCATCTTGAGAAGCATTGTTGCATCAGGATGACGCCAATGAAGGGAGGTACGGGAGTGAAGATGAGCTGGGATGCTGGGAGGCAAGGGCTCAATTTGGATTCCTGGAGGCCTTTCATAGCTGCTGTGAGGTTCTACAAAGTGCCCAGAACCTTCCGAAACCTAGGGCACGCATCAACAGACTCTGCTTTGGCGAAGAAGGCCTCAAACAGAGCGGCTATTAAGTGAAATGCAAAATCCAGATCCAACCCTCCTGGCTATTGAGTAGATGAACGATTGCTTGTGTTTTCCGGATTTGTGTGAGTTTTTTCAGTGTCGAACTTGCCTGGGCCGCATTGTTTCGCTGCATCCACTTTCTGGAGCCGGGCTTCACACGTGCCGCGATTGGCTCAAGACTCAGCCGACTTATCGTCGCTGGGCGGCGGCCGGCGGCCGGGATGGCCAATACTTTGGCGCCTTGATCTGGGATCCGCCGAAACCGAGGGTTGTGCAGAGCAGGGTATCACTTTCCAATTGGTGGTATTGATTGGTGGTTTTGGGATTTGAACCCCGAATTCTTGTAAAGGGTAAAAGGGACACCACCCCCTTAACCACCAAACCACCAATCCGAGGGAAGATGAGGGTAGGTGAGTAGCTCAAAGGTGAGGAGAACCTGTTTCTCCGATGGCTGGCATCGTTGGCCCCCCCTTTTGTGAGCATGTTTCACCTTTCACGAATTTGGGTGTGACTCTGCTGCATGGGTCAAAAAGCTAACCATACACAAGACTGGCAGAGGAAATTGAACAAACTCAAGTTGTGGTGGAAATTTGCCAGTTTTTCGGCAAGAAGGATGATGTTTTATTGGATTGGCGGCCTTGGTTGTCGTTGAATCAGATATCAAGTCTGTTGACTGAAGCATCTCGCATACCTTTGGCCGTATTTTACATTAATCGAGGAAAGTAATTATGTGTTAGTGTTCTGTGCTAGACACAAGCATGATGTTGTTTGAGGCGATTACCCTTATGTTGTTTGTAGATTGTGTTCGGCATGAGTGAATTATTCCCCATGGCAAGTTTATTCCCCAAGTTTGAGATCCTAGATTAGTTCTTTGTAGATGATGGTAGGTCCGTCCAAGCGTAGTGTTGGTCTCTCTGTGCTGCTATGCAGTGCCACGTGCTGGTGCAACAGCATGGATGAGTTTTGCGACTTTCTTGTCGCGGGAAGGGGCCATATGTCGCCCGCTGGCGAGCCTCGCCTAGGAGTTTGTCGGTGGCTGCAGTGCCTGCCACCCAGGATTCTCGCCAAAGTCTGAAGCTGCCGGGTTTAGGCCCCAAGATTTAAGCCACCAGCGTTGAAACATCATCCTGCAGTTGCGGTTCTGCGGGCCGTTTGGCATTCTTGACGCCGCCTAAACGAAGTTGACACAAAAGCAGTAATTGTCACCAACTTTCCAGACAGCGAAGCCCATTGATTAGCCCACGGGCTTTTGGGGATGTTGGAGTTTGGTGTGCTCGCTAAAGAACTTCTTCTGTTTTCTTGCAAAACTCGGCGCATGCCGCATCATTGGAATCCGTGTTTGTACTTGGTTAGGTTGGATTGCGCGGTTCCCCTTTCACACATATTGTTTGGAACACAGAACGTTTAAACTGAGGGGTTGTAGGTCTGTTCAAGCCTTGTCTTGGTCTCTCTAAACTCTTTAATTGACGGGGGCTGAGGCAGGTAACTGCCCGTTCGTGAACACGAATTTGTGCGTCTTGAAGAGATACTCATCGGTCGTGAAGCGAGCTGTTTATGGCCTCTTTGTCCAGGACATGTCTCATGTGTCTCGCGACGTTTTGCTTAGGCCACCACCACGCGAATGATCCTAAAGCGGGAGATGGAAAGATTTGGCAGGCTCCTCAGTGTATGAAGCAGCTATGGCAAGCTGCTTCAACAACAAATATCCAGATGTGCATGGTTCCTTCAGGAGATGCAGAGCTAACCACTGCCTGCAAAGCAATTGTATGTCATCTGTTGGACATGCTTGTTGGGTTCAATGAGTCGGGTCACAGGTGAGGAGGAAGCCTTTCCATGTGGTGGCTTCCCAGGCAGCGTCGACGTTTGCCATATGGGAAATCGCCGGGCCCTCGAACCATACGCGCAGAAGGCTTGCCCGAGGTGTAAGTGAGGCATATGCTTTGGCCGACGACCGGTTTTGGTGCAGAAAGCTTTCTAGAATCATTTAGACCAAAGTTTGGCTCAGGAGACAACATCGACAAGGAGCCGCCATGGGTTCGCCCGGCACTTAAGCTCAAAGGTAAACATTGTTGTTTTTTGACTGACAAGGTGTTGGAATTGAGGGTTGGGCCTATTCGCTGCACTAAGTAATTACATGGGTTGAAAAAGAAACTCTCGGGCTTTTCGTTACATAAGGGCCCGTCCCGTAACTTTGCTTGCAGGCCGGGAACACGGTAAACCGATGCAGCGGGAAACAAACAGATACTACGCGATACTGGGTATAAGGATGCAAGGGTTGTCCATGTGGTTCTTTCCAGCCCGCTTTTTTAGGCTTCTCAGATCCGAGAGCTGCAGATTCCGCGTGAACCCCAGACTTGAGTACCATGAGGGGCCCACGCCTGAAATGCAACACAACAAGCAGCCCGTGCTTTGGCCTCATGATGCAAATAGTCTCAGGATGGATGAGTCACGAGCCGCGTCCAAGTTTCAGCACGATTTTGAATGCATGTGTGCTAAATGTTGACCTCGTCACTCTGGTTGCCTGGCAATCACAAATCTATTTGGTCTATGATGTCTATGTTTTGTGTGTTTGCTTGCTTTCATGCTGCAAGCAAGCCCGCACACGTAATCACACGCACACACATGCACATATATATATATATATATGTAGTTTGTAACGTGATGTATTTATCAACCATGTAAAACCCCAATGCATGAATGTCTCACTTGCGCAGTCTCATCATTACGACTGCGTATGGCTCAAGGAAAAAGCGCGCTGAGTACAGGGTTCATTTGTGACCCTTCCCGGTTGTTTAACCTGTTCTATAGGTTATCAGCCGTAAGCGGCTCTTTGTACAGAGTTGTACGCCATGGATGGCGACCCTGGACTACCCCATTCCGAGGTGCGTCCCACACCTGATGAGCCCGCAGGCGATGAAGACGCCTCGCAATATGAACCGACTAGTCGAGCAAACTCCCAAGTGGCCAGGGAGCTCATCAGGAAGGGACAGGCACTGAGCAGTCAGGGCCCCGAATCACTTCGATCTCGGAGTGACCGTGGGAGGACTGGGCGGTCTGGTGCTCGATCTCCTTCACCTGTTGGATCAGATCGGCATCGGCATGGTGACATCGTCATGTACGACCCCCAGACCGATCTCGCAAGGGGAAACAGTCCATGAATCAGTTCAACCAACATGTTGCAAACGTCCACCTCGATCCTTCAATGACGATCAGCCAGGACGTGACGAACTATCAGCAGATCAACGCTACCCAGAACAATGCCCAATTCAACCAGTTCGTGAATCAGGACACCGGTCCCATGGTCGCCCAGATGGCGGAGGCAAGGCATGGTGAGATTATTGCCGGACTTCAAAGCCAATCGGAGGCCATGAGACGCGAGATTCAAATGAATGCGGAGCAGCGTGTGAACACCATGAAATCGGAAAGAGAAGCCGAGATGAAGTGCCAAAACGCCATGAACCCGATCAGCGAGCAGGAGAAGCAGATCAGGGAGCTAAGGGCTATGGTCGAGCAGATGATGCAGAATCAACAGCAACCGCCTGCTCAACCTGCTTCAGCCCCTGCGCCTCCCGTGCAGCAGGCACCAGCTACCGCCTTGGCTATCCCGACCGTTCCTTTGGCTGCATCTCCACCCGGACTTTCGAATGCTTCCTCGCACAGTTGGACGAAGGTCGGGAGCGACCCCTGCGGCAAAGACGGATCCGTTCCCGCCGGGGCCGTGGACGATGCTGCTACCGGAGACGGTTGGCCTTGCGATGATGGTGATGGTGGAAATGACAAGGACAAGAAAAAGAAGAAGAAGAAGAAAAAGAAGAAGGACCGTAGCCGACGCCGGCGACGAGATCCATCATCTTCTCCCTCGTCATCTTCCTCATCAACTTCGACTGCATCGGATGAATCCTTTCGACGAAAGCTACTGAAGCACTTAGGTAATTCGAGCGATCCGACAGCGGAACGCGTTCGTGTAAAGGAGGGTGACAGACTTCAGATTCCCCGATTCCCGAAGCCCGAACAGTATCGTCGTAATTGGAGGATCAAAGTTAGGGATGCTGTTGTTGCTACTTCCGACCAACCCGAAAAGGCATTTGAGTGGATTGAGGCAACTTGGATCCCAGGTCAAACTGTTGAAGTCCTTCGTGATTCAGGAATGTTTGTCCATCTTGACGCAAAGCTGGCATCGGCGTTGACGAACATCTTGGAGGGCGACCTCGCGCGGCAAGTCGATATTTTCAAAGAACAAGAAGCAAAGGAGAAACGCTACGCGAGGGCGCCAAATTCTTTTGATGATTCACAAGCACTTCAGCACGAACATCAAACATGGTGCAAT